GAGACGTTGATTTGCAAAATAGCTAATCAATCGATGCGATCCCAGTTGATTTGGAAACACTCGCGGCTGGCGGATTGAGTTCGATGTGTGAACCAGCGCTACGGGCTGGAACCCAATTCAGACTACTCTCCTACCACTTTTGTGTGGAGCTTATAAAATGACAAAACAATCTGATTTATTTACTTTTATTCATTTTTATTTGGCCTATTAATCAGGAATCATCAACTCATTCAGCATATGTTTTACTCAGCGGATGTCCTTCCAGCTGCAACCCATCACTGGGAAACACCTACACACACTAATTTAAACACATACCCTACAACCAATATTATTCATTCATTCATTTTCTTTTCGGCTTAGTTCCTTTATTAATCTGGGGTTGCCACAGCAGAATGAACCGGCAACTTATCCAGCATTTGTTCAGTGGATGCCCTTCCAGCTGCAACCCAGTATTGAGAAACACCCATACACTCTTGCATTCACACCCACACATACACTACGGCCAAATTAGTTTATTCAATTCACCTATAGCACATGTCGTTGTCACCCGAGCACCTGAAGGAAACCCACGCCAACACAGGGAGAACATCCAAACTCCACACAGAAATAACCCAGCCATGACTCTAAGCGACCTGTTGTGAGGCGACAGTGCTAACCACAGAGCCACCATGCCCCCCTGACTTATTTACATTTGTAATTTAAAAAAACTGAAAGTTACATGGTGTTATAAATTGTTTTGAATGTGAATTTCTTAACTTGAATACTGACCGTCTGAAATTTAAGGCAACAATTATTTTAAGGCAAATTTTTATTAACAGAAATTTGGCGCCACCCATTGGACATGTTGTGCAGTGGTTACAGTACAGGTCAGAATTAGCTCATTGTCTATAGGGGTGGTCAAATGTATATTTGTATTATCTAGTATGTTAGCAATATTAGTTTTTAAGATGCAAATCAGAGCTAACTATTTCTTACTAATTAGAGGACCCTCCCATACATGTTGTTTTCATGTCCTTTAGGGGGGATCAAGCATTAATAGGGGAGTCGGCAACACTTCCCTGTTGATGACCCCTGACCTACTTTCAGAATGCAATTAACTGGATGTCTGCAGTCTATGAATTCAGAACAAAAAAATCTGAAGTTTGAAAATATGTCTATAAAAATTTAAAGGCACAATATGCAAGATTATTTTAATATACACTGGTGCAGTGTTGGCGTCACGATAGCGCTATCGCCTCACAGCAAGTAGGTCGTTGGTTCGAGTCCTGGCTGGGTCAGTTGGCATTTCTGTGTAGATTTTGCATGTTTTCCCCATGTTAGTGTGGGTTTCTTCCGCATGCTCCAGTTTCTCCCACAGTCCAAAGACATGCGGTATATAGGTGAATTGAATAAACTAAATTGGCCCAAGTGTGAATGCAAGAGTGTATGAGTGTTTCCCAGTGCTGGGTTGCAGCTGGAAGGGCATCCACTAGGTCAACTCCTTGTTCAAGCTCTTGTTCTCTCCAAACTGGATTACTGCAACTCTCTACTAGCCGGGCTTCCAGCTAACTCTATCAAACCTCTTCAGCTGCTCCAGAATGCAGCAGCACGAGTGGTCTTCAATGAACCTAAACGAGCACATGTCACTCTGCTGCTCATCCGTTTGCCCTGGCTGCCAGTTGCTGCTCGCATCAAATTCAAAACTCTGATGTTTGCCTACAAAGCGACTTCTGGCTTTGCTCCTTCTTATCTACTCTCACTTCTGCAGATTTATGTGCCCTCCAGAAATTTGCGTTCTGTGAATGAACGTCGCCTCGTGGCTCCATCCAAAGAGGGAAGAAATCACTTTTGCGAACGCTCACATTCAATCTGCCCAGTTGGTGGAATGAATTCCCTAACTGCATCAGAACGGCAGTCACTCGCTGTTTTCAAGAAACGACTAAAAACTCAACTATTTAGTCTCCACTTTACTTCCTAATCTGCAATTGCCTCTTTGGATATACCACTAATTGTACTCAAAAAAAAAAAAAAAAAAAAATTACTAATACTACTAATACTTTCCTTCTTAGACTTTACAGACCTGAAACTTGCCTACAGCACTTATTCATTGTTGCTCTTATAGTTGTGTAAATTGCTTCCTTGTCCTCATTTGTAAGTCGCTTTGGATAAAAGCATTGGATGCAGCTCAGATTGCATTGCACCACTTCTGCATCCAGACCACTCTAGAGAAATAAGCTATTTTTTAACTAGTGACACAGACAGAGTCCTGAGTCGCCACGCTAATGACCACAAACACCCATAATTTCTGGTTTGTTTTATTGAAAACGGAAACACCAAAGATGCTTTTAACCCTTTAAAACCAATCAAAGCACTCCTAATTTACTAACAATGTGCTGTTTTTATTAGACTGTACAGAGCAACATTACCACAATACTAAAATGTATTTATTCAGTATGATAATACATATCACCTTTACAAGCTGAAGAACCAGAACTGTGGCATAATAAAACAGCTTTCAGCGTTACTCTGCTTCATACTAATACATTTTGAATACTTACCTCATCCATGAACATGATTTCTGCAGGGTGTCCTGTGGGATGTAATGAAGATAACAACTCCCATGATTCCACACTCAATCACAGCAACAGACTACTCTTTTGTTGGTTGTGAATAGGCTCCCTCTAGTGGTAGAAATGAATGAATGAATGAAAACATTTACATTTTTAATGTTTAATTTTTTTAAGGTTGCCTGTAAAGCAAATAATCATCTTTTTACCCTCTGCTTTAGAACACTGTGGGCTAAATTAATTAAAATTATGTAATTATAACTATATTGTTGTCTTGGAGTGAATATCAAAGTTTATTTTGTAGTCGTTAGTTAGTCAGTTTGTATGGTAGTTTTTATATGGCACTGCACAAAATTAATAATGTTAAAACAGCCTAAGAGAGTGATTCAAAGCTACACACACACAGATGCGCACGCATGCATTGTGATAAAAGGCTTGAACTGTATATCATGCGACCTGCTTAACATCTAGCAGTGTTACAGAATACGTGTTATAAACATGCACTGAGCAAATGCACAAGGTTTTTAAAGTCCACATCAAATCAGAATATAATTCTGGGGGCTTTTATCGGAATATGCTGGCTATCTGTAAGCTAGTGTGTTCAAACAATGCCAAGTTTTGCATTTAAAAGACAAATGCATTCAAAACTTACCGTATTTTATTTCCATTTGTGCTTCAAATTCAAGATACTAATTTCAGACCAATTAAATTCCCTCAAGAATCTAAAGTATCCCTTTCCTTATACCACACTGTAAAATGCAACAGTCAACTGTATCAAATGAAATGAGTGTAGTTAACTCAAAACTGACTGAATTAATTCTACTCATTTGAAAAGAGTTTTGAACTCAATGTTGAAGGTAATGAGTTGATTAAATACCCAATTACTTCAACTTAAATGAAGTTCACAGTACTCGTAAGATTAGTTTTTGAGCTTAAATGGTTTGTTGCAATCGGTTTCATCAAATGGTTTGAGTTGCTTTAAATTTTTGGGTTTTACAGTAAACAAAAAGATGCTAAAACTGTGGTTAAAAATTAGTCACTTGTTCACACAGTTACTCTTTTACATATTGAAATTTAGTAGATTGGTGTAAAATTAACCAGTATAAGCTGGATCATATATCCTAAGAACACAAAACACATTAGACCCTTTTAAATTCTGCACTGAATTAGTGCTGCAATGTAAAGCCACATGAAGGAGGTTAGCAGGAGAATCCGTTAGATTATGACTCTGCTTTCCTGTTTTAGTAGAAATTATATCAATGTGATTCAACTAGGAACAAGTAGCGGTCAGGACATTTAATACAACTACAAGGACAGAAATATGCTTTTTACTTGTTGGAATCTGGGAATTACACTACTTCATCTATACCTTATATGATAATTATAAAGATAAATACAGCAAACACTTAGCATCCACATCAATTAATAATTTATTGTTGAGCGCAAACTGAAGTTGAATATTAATTCATATACAAATTAGACTAAATTAACATTACGTTTGCAATGCAAACTTTGCATGAATTTACAGAGAAATTAGTATTATTGTGTCAAAAGTTAGATGAATTAAAGAAAAAACATAAGTGGAATATAATTGTGTTGGCATAATGAGGTAACCATAGCAACAGTTAGCTGCTCTAGCCCTTAAAGGTAGCTACATTTAATACGCAATATACATTACAGTTATATGGCACTATGTAAAAAGTCATTCTGTGGCCTTGTAGATTTCATTAAATTGAATATGTAGACTTTATTTAATAAAATTAATTACCTGTTTTTATTTTGAAATTACTTAAAAATGTCTGTAATAAAATAAAATCAATTTTATTATAAGAATTTAGCTATTATTTTTTAATAATTTCAAAAAGAGGAAATATTAATTAAATCCAAAGTGATTAAAATGAGCATTTTCAAATTCACAATCAGTTTCTGTTACAACCAATAATTAAATCAATAATTTTGGTTAAGATTTGCTAGTTTTTTAAATACTGTTTGCAGTTACTCATGTTAAACGGCTATTTTTAAATACGCTAATTTAATTAATAGTTACTTAATCCTTATTTGGATACACACTCCACACACTGTATAGAATTACACTGATAATCACATAACACAAACATTTTTTTTTAAATCTTCCTAATTTGACATTTACCTACTTTAAAATACTGCTGTCACTTAAAAAGCAATATATACCCTAATAATTAAATAGCCATTTAAAATACAAAGCGGAAAGCTAGTCTTTTTAAATAAGCTTACTAAACTGTTACTGTGAGGTAAAAACTTGTATTTGGCTTTACACTATAAAAATGCAGAGTTCCTTAATTGAATTTACAAATTTAAGCTGAACATAAAACAATTAAGTTACCCCACAGAACCCTTTAGAATTGTATTGATTCAACTCTTCATAAACAAGCAGTTTGAACAAGCATCAAATATATATTTAGTTTGAGTGTTGATGGCATTGCAATTCTTTCAGATTTTTCTTGGAATGGTAATAGCACAGATGGCTATGGATCTTTTTATATCTTTATGGCAGAGTGGTGGCTGTTATATCACATTAGGCTTAATACCAAGATTTCACCGCTTTATTAAGTGGGTAACTGTGTGGTTACCATGGTAAATCTTCGAAAGGGCATGTGTAAGCGCAATGAGCGCGTGGCTTCGGGGCGGGTGGTTGTCGGGTCCATCATCACAGTCCAGTTACCCACGACTGTACGACTTACAGCACAGAAAAAGCCTCGTCGCTCATGCACCTTGACTCAGCGTCAACACCGCACGCTCAACCGGTGCATTCGGTCATTTTGAGAAGCTTGACTGTGCGGTAATGTGCGTTTCGTGCCTTCACTGCTCGGTGTTCCAGCACCGCGCCCGGATGGAAATGTGTCTTCCGGGGAAAAGCATCTTTCAGCCAACGAGACACCGAGCACAACACTTCGCGCAGCCTGGACATCTGCAACTTTCAACAGAAGCTCGTGCCTTTTTAAGAGCGCGCGCGATTTGAGACGAACATCTATGGCCAAACTTACGCGTCCAAGAGGGGAGAAGAGCCGTGGAATATCTGACCGAGGCCCGTAAGATCGCAGACCCCTCGTTTTTTTGCCATTTCATTCTGATCTTACTGCCGTCATTCATGGATGTGCACGCAGAGGCGGGTCCGTTGCACGTGCAGGCGGTGGATGAGCCACCGGGAGGCGCCACCGTGACCGTCACCGCCGCGCAGTTTCAGCCCCAAACTGTGCCGGGGAGCGACGGCGAGGATGTCCTGCAGGAACCGGGCGCTGGAGTTCAGACACCGTCACCGGCAGCCGCGGAGGCTGATCCTATCACGGAGATCGAGAGCGAGGATGGAGCGTGCGCAGGGACGGACACACTGCTGGAGGACAGCGGCGGACAGAGCGCGGTGAAAACGGAGACAGTGGGCTCCAGCTGCAGCAACGAGAGCTGTGTCCCGACACCTGGATGTCGGATCTGCTTTCAGGGAGCCGAGCAGGTGAAGTCAGGTCGTTCGTTCGTCCCGTTCACGCTGTTTATTGTCGGCTAGCAGCCTATATTTATGCGTCACACAGACGACGTGTTTGGTTGTTGCCAATATTGTGCGCAGTTCAGAACAGAACCGAGAATGCTTTATAAAATTACAGTTAAATTCCTGAACTTGAACTGAATTTGAATTAAAATTGTCATTTATTTATTTAATTTAATTCCCCCCCCCAGTTATTTTCATTTCTTTATTTAGCATTGTGTTAATCTAGACCGGTTTATTAGGAACAAACAATGAATCAACATTCGAAATACTAAAGATGTATATAAAACAGGAGCACAACAGTATATATAGCAGCAGGGGTGTACAAACTCGGTCCTGCTGGAGGGCCGGTGTCCGGCCGATTTTAGCTCCAACTTGCCTCAACAAACCTGCACGAATGTTTCTAGAAAGCCTGTAGCCTAAGAGCTTGGTTAGCTAGCTCAGGTGTGTCTGATTGGGGTTGGAACTATAACATTTGCAGGACACTAGCCCTCCAGGACCGAATGGGCACCCTTGATATAGAATATATAAGTATAGCTTGTAAGTCTTGGAATTTAAAGGCAGTAATTTAACTATTTAGTTCCAATTCCAATTTTGTTTACCATGCTAGAAACATTGTTTCCCAAAATCCACACATTAATTTAGTTAAAATTCAGCACATCTCCTTTTAACAGCTGGGAAGGTAAAACTCATTTGTTTTCCCCCCAAAGGGAAATACATTTTTCAACAACAGCTAAAAAAATCTTCTAAAAACAGACCCTTTGTTGGTAATAGACTGGATGTATTTGATGAACCCATCTGTTCGCATTAATTCAGTTTATTTTTTAAAGCAAGTTAAAGGCTAGACAGTTGTTCTTGCATCTGCCAGTGCTGTGATTTATTTATTTATTTTTTTTGCTATTTTATAAAGTCCTTTTTTTCAAAATACATTTTTTAAGAGTTCATACTTTTTCACGATTTTTAGTAAGCTTGTTTAGCATACTGTCCCAGAAGAGAGCCCTGAGCTCAAGGGATCCTCGAGCCCAGGGCTACCTGCCACTCACAGGGCGAGAGAGGACATTAATATTGGGTATATCTCAAAAAGTCCCCCACCATAGGGGACTATGGCGCCAATTTGGTTAGTAGGTTTTCATATAAAACATGTCTTTGGACGGTGGGAGGAAACCAGAGAACGCGGAGGAAACCCACATGGACACGGTAAGAACATGCAAACTCCACAAAGAAATGCAAACCGGCCTGGCAAGGACTAGAGCCGGTCTTGCTGTGGGGCAACAGTGCAAACCACTGAGCCACTGTGCTGCCCAATCTAGGTTAAGAGAGGAGGAGAAGGGGAGGAAGAGGGGTTTCTTCCAGACGAAGATGGTTGTGGACTAAAGACTGTGGTTATTTATAGTGACTTAGGAATCATCTGATTGGAAGATCATGCATTAGTTAATGCAGGACCGGCTGTGGTCAATCATAAGCTCGTGATCCTCTCGAAGTTAGTTTATAAATAAACTTCACTTAAGTGTTTCTTTTTTCTACTTCAGTACTACTTGCATACACCAAATTGGCCAGCTTTTATTTCATGTACACAATCTGAAAACTTATATATGTTCATATGTAACATATATATTTTTTCTGAATAGCATTTTCGGAATTGAATGATAAAAAAATGTCCAATAGCTCCTCTGTAAAAAAACAGTTCACTTATATATGTACCAAAAAATTTGCATACAGAAAATTTCACTCATCAGAGAGTGGCAGTGAACAAAGCTTCACCCATTTCCATGCAAATGATATTATCGATTGATTAAAAAACTAGAAATATTTAATTTTATATAGATGCAATCAACCATTAATATGAATATTTTTATATATATCAACATTTTTTAAAATGAATCTTCAAGGCTTTATGGGATTGTAGCTCTCTACTTCATTCTTCTTTGCTCTGTTATATTGTTACACATTGTAGCTGGTTGATTTGGTTCATAACAAAGTCCCTACGGGACAAATGAATTGGAAAATGTGGGTGGGCACTAATGCACACCACAGAAGCAGTTTGTGAAATGTGGTTGTCCCATCCAGACATGTTCATCCTATATATCATAAATACATCCAACTGTTGACGAGCATATGACAGTCTGTGAAACATAAACATGCTAAACATCTTTAGAATTTATTATGGACCTACATAATTAATGCAATTATTAGAATATCGGAAACATCAATACTTTTTAAGGCTTTAAACAGACAGTGTGTGTGTGTGTGAGAGAGAGAGAGATCCATTAGAATACCTGCTGCTGCATTGATGTCTAATGCTCTTCTTCACTTCCTGCAGCTAATGTGCTTCCTCCAGGCGCCTTGTGTTCGTGTGTGTGTATGTGTGTGTGTGTAAATGTGCTCCACTCTCTTCCAGACTCATTATAGTTCTAAATGAGGATGTTTCTGAAATTATTCATGAATGCACTGATGAATCGTTTCCCGTCCGCTCGACAGATGATTCTCAGTCATTATGTGTATAGTGTTTCATTCACTCCAAATGTTCTCCTGGTTGAGATGGACACAGCTCCTCTGCTATATTCTCTTCACAAGCTCAATGCTCATCTGGTCTGCAGAGGAACTCAATATGAACAAATCAACAGCCATCAATCATCAGCTCATACTCTGAGGAGTTTAGTCTCTAAAGTGAGAGCTTCCAATGGACGAATGGTGTAGTGGTTGATCAAAAATGGCATCAACATCACAAAATGAACATGTGCAAAGTATCATGGGAGTGAAGGGTGTTCATTACTTGGAATCTTGGAAATCTTTAATTCTGAATGGTCCTTTGAAGTGGCCAGTTTTGAGCACTTTGAAAAGACCCTTCAATGTGGAGGTCATGATTGTTATAATGTCTTCTGGGACAGACAGACTTATATTACTGTTGGAATGCAACTCCTGTCTTTTATCTTTATGTCTGTGATTGGTTGATTGATGTGGCTGAGTGTGCTGTGATTGGCTGATTGATGTGACTGAGTGTGCTGTGATTGGCTGATTGAGGCGGGTCTACAAGTTGTGATTGTATGATTGAGGAGGGTCTACAGGTTGTGATTGGATGATTGAGGCTTGTCTACAGGTGGTGATTGGTTGATTAACATGTCTGCATGTGTTGTGATTGGCCGATTGAGGTGTATGTATGTTGTGATTGTATGTATGATCTCATTGTAATATGATTGGCTGATTGAGGTGTGTCTGCATGTTATGTTTGGATGATTGAGGTGTGTCTGTGTGTTGTGATTGGCTGATTGATATGTCTGATTGTACTGTGATTGGCTGATTGAGGTGTCTATGTGTGTAGTGATTGGCTGATTGAGGTGTGTCTGTGTGTTGTGATTGGATGATTGACGTGTGTCTGTGTGTTGTGAATGCCTGATTGAGGTGTGTCTGTGTGTTGTGATTGGCTGATTGATATGTCTGATTGTACTGTGATTGGCTGATTGAGGTGTCTATGTGTGTAGTGATTGGCTGATTAAGGTGTCTATGTGTGTAGTGATTGCCTGATTTAGGTGTTTCTGTGTTGTGATTGGCTGATTGATATGTCTGATTGTATTGTGATTGGCTGATTGAGGTGTCTGTGTGTGTGATTGGCTGATTGAGGTGTGTCTGTGTGTTGTGATTGGCTGATTGAGGTGTGTCTGTGTTGTGATTGGCTGATTGAGGTGTGTCTGTGTGTTGTGATTGGCTGATTGAGGTGTGTCTGTGTGTTGTGATTGGCTGATTGAGGTGTGTCTGTGTTGTGATTGGCTGATTGAGGTGTGTGTGTGTGCGTGTTGTGATTGGCTGATTGTTGATTGTGTGTGTGTGATGTGACTGGCTGATTGAGCTGTGTCTGCATGTTGTGATTGGCTGATTGATGCGTGTCTGTCTTTTGTGATTGGTTGATTGAGGTGTCTATGTGTGTTGTGATTGGCTGATTGTTGTGTATGTGTGTGTGTGATGTGATTGGCTGATTGAGGTGTCAGTATGCATTGTTATTAGCTGATTGAGGCATGTCTGCTTTTACTGTGATTGGCTGATTGATGTGTGTATGTGTTGTGATTGGCTGATTGAAGTGTGTATGTGTGTTGTGATTGGCTGATTGTGCTGTGTGTTCATGGTGTGAATGGCTGATTGATGTGTGTGTGTGCGTGTGGTTGTTGTGATTGGCTGATTGAGGTATGTGTTATGTGATTGGCTGAGGTGTCCGTATGCATTGTGATTGGCTGATTGAGGCATGTCTGCTTTTACTGTGATTGGCAATCAATGTGTCTGCATGTTGTGATTGGCGTGTTTGCTTGTACTGTAATTGGCTGATTGAGATGTATCTGTATCTTGCGATTGGTGTGTCTGTTCTGATTGGCTAACTGATGTGGCTACTGTGATTGGATGATTGATGCATTTCTGCGTGTTGTGATTGACTATTGACGGGTCTGCATGTGCTGTGATTGGCTGATCGACGTGTCCGTGTGTGTTGTGATTGGCTGCAGGGGGAGCTGCTGAGCCCGTGTCGCTGTGCTGGCTCAGTTCGACATGCCCATCAGCAATGTCTGCTTAAGTGGATCAGTGAGAAAGGCTCCTGGAGCTGTGAACTCTGCAACTACAGATTCAACATTCTGCCTATACATATCAAACCACCACAACAGGTAAACATCAGTAAACATCCGTCAGGGCTAAAAGCACATACTTATTAATAGCAAACCCAGAGGACTGATCATAACTTTGGAGTGGTCTCTTAATTCCTCCAGTGCTGCATTTACATTGTGATCCCATAAAAAGTATGAAGGCTCAGGCACTGCATTAATATATACAGTGATAATATATTTGCTTTACAGTGATAATAATGTTTTGCAATCTGCTTGTTTGCAACATTGAAAAGATTTTAATTTTAAAGAAATAATAATCACATTTGTGTTTATATTAGTCGCTATCGGGAGCTGTGATCAGTGACTGTGTGTGTGTGTGTGTCTTATAGTGGCAGAGAGTCACCATGACTCTGGTGGAGAAGGTTCAGGTTATTGCGGTGTTTCTGGGTGGGCTCTTCCTACTGGCCAGTGTGTCCTGGTTGCTGTGGTCAGCACTGAGCCCGGAGGCATTATGGCAGCGCAGTGACATCCTGTTCCAAATCTGCTATGGCATGTATGCAGTCATGGACCTTGTGTGTATTGGTAAGACAAACCATATGCACTCAAACCGAATTAAATGAATTAAAATTTAGACCTATTTGGCAAATACATGCCCACTTACTCACTGCTGACCAATCGAAAAAAGTGTACTATATTAGAGGTGCATTATGTGTTTACTTAGAACTTTAGTGAGATTTAACATCGGTCCTTTAACACTGATTTAACACCGAAATCTTTTATGACAGCCGATGTTTGCCACTGCTATTAAGATTTAAGTGTTGATTATATCTGAACTGAAATCAGAACTCAATCAAACCAACATCTTGTAAATCAGAATCAAATTTTAAATTCAAAGCTGTATTAAAAATGGTGTTTACTAGAGGTTTATCAGTATAGCAGGGAAGAAATTATTTACATTTAACATTCTAATGTAGTGATAAAATACTCTAATTACTCTAATTAATCACCAAAATACTCAAGACTTATTCAAACATATACACTTACCGGCCACTTTATTAGGTACACCTTACTAGTGCCTTAATCCTTCGTGGCATAGATTCTACAAGGTACTGAAAATTATCCTCAGAGATTTTGATAGCATCACAATAGTTGCTGCAGGATTTGTCATCTACACATCCATTATGCGAATCTCCTGTTCCACCACATCCCAGATGCTCTTGTTGGAGTGAAATCTGGTGACTGTGGAGGCCATTTGAGTACAGTGAACTCATTGTCATGTTCAAAAAACCAGTATGAAATTATTTGTGGTTTATGACATGGTGCGTTTTCCTGCTGGAAGTAGCCATCAGAAGACACTGTGGTCATAATGGATAGGACATGATCAGCAACAATACTCAGGTAGGCTGTGGCATTGACACAATGCTCTATTGGTACTAATGGGCCCAAAGTGTGCCAAGAAAATATCCTCCACACTATTACACCACCGCCAACAACCTGGAGGATGGATCCATGCTTTCATGATGTTGATGCCAAATTCTGACCCTACCATCCGAATGGCGCAGCAGGAATCGAGACTCATCAGACCAGGAGACATTTTTCCAATCTTCTCTTGTCCAGTTTTGGTGAGCTTGTGCGAATTGTAGCCTCAGTTTCCTGTTCTTCGGTGACAGGAGTGGCACCCGGTGTGGTCTTCTGCTGCTGTAGCTCATCCGTCTCAAGGTTGGACATGTTGTGTGTTCAGAGATGCTCTTCTGCATACCTCGGTTGTAATGAGTGGTTATTTGAGTTCCTGTTGCCTGTCTATCAGCTCGAACCAGTCTGGCCATTCTCCTCATCAACAATGCTCCCACAGAACTGCCACAGATCGTTTTGACCATGTCTAGATACCTAAATGAATTGAGTTGCTGCCATGTGATTGGTTGATTAGAAATTAGCAATAACGAGCCGTTGAACAGGTGTACCTATTAAAGTGGCCGGTGAGTGTACATTAAATAAGACATCACTAACAGGAAAAGTAGAAAATAATGAGTATATAGACCAGTATAGTGCAAAAACTGAAAGAATAATCCAGTAAAGTTTTATCCATGAATCACTTTGGATTTAAGAATAAATAATGTTAGATTAATAATAGTTGTTTTTTAAAAAAAAGTTCCACAAATATAGTAGTTAACGACAACTGAACCAAAAACGTGAAATTGAATTTGCACCATTGCACCCCTAGTGTTCACCTATACTAATAACATGTCCTGTGTTCACAGGTCTGATTGTTCATGAAGGCGGCGCTGTTTACAATGTGCTTTTACGATGGCGAGCTGTAAACCTCTTATGGGATGTCCAGAACTACGATAAAAGCAGAGACCTAGAGAACACACACAGCCCTCACCGCAACCTATGGTTACCCCTCACACACACACACACGGTGTCGAACACACATACGCAAACCACCCGACTGGAGTCATCTCCTCGTTGCCCGCTCCACCTCTTTTCCATGTGCCTGAATGGGACCACCAACCTCTCGCCACAGGAGCAGGGCTCGGGCGAACTCGTTGTCAGAGTCACGTCAGTTTGACCTATCGGTAAGCCCCGCCCTCTCTTAGTTTGCTACTGTTGTGAACTCAGACAAATAAAGAGAGTTGCTAACTTTCTTACAACGAGCGCTTTGTCCTAAGGTGTTTTTGATACATTTTGGAGATGGAAGGAGCACCTCTTGTTGAGAAGTGTCTAAGTGGGATTTAAATATGCAATGGAGAGATACATTTGAGTAAGTATGGTGGTTAACAAGATTCATTTGGAAGAAAGCATCCCAAATTACCACAGGGTAAGATTAAAGTCCGCATGAACCATAAGCTGTGACCATTTTTATTTTTTTATTTTTTTAGAGAAATGGAATATTAAATGACAAAACAGTGGGTGTGGCTTTTTATTTTACTGCGATCTGATTGGATGTAGTAAAGTAGGCATTTCTTAACAGACACCCCCTCCCCGCTATTTCTGTTTGTTGTCAAAATTGACAGCTGGAGGGGCGTGGATAGGTATGTTAGCTACACCCTACACCTCGGACAGACATAATCTGAGAATAACATTTTCTTAATGAGATGCACAGATTAATTTTTCACCAAAAAACTGGCAATGTAAGCTAACAAAATCAGTAAGCTTTGATTTTTATTTTAATTTATGGAGATCACAGGCGCTAACTAGCTAACGTTAATGCTACCTATCTAACTTAAGGCAGAGGCTGTATTACTACAATTGAATAACTTGCATTGAAATTAGTAAAGTTAAAAGCATTGTTGGTGAGACTTACTTTCGAATAAATATATACACTACCTGACAAAAGTCTTGATCCCAGTTATAAGAGCAACAAATAATAGCTTGACTTCTAGTTGATCATTTGGAAAAGTGGCAAAAGGTAGATTTTTCTGATGAATCATCTGTTGAACTGCATCCCAATCATCATAGATACTGCAGAAGACCTATTGGAACCCACATGGTCCCAAGATTCTCACAGGAATCAGTCAAGTTTGGTGAAGGAAAAATCATGGTTTGGGGTTACATTCAGTATTGAGGCCTGTGAGAGATCTGCAGAGTGGATGGCAACATCAACAGCCTGAGGTATCAAGGCATATGTGCTTCTCATTACATTACAAACCACAGGAGAGGGAAAATTCTTGAGGAGGATAGCACTTCGCATACTTCAGCCTCCACATCAAAGTTCCTGAAAGCAAAGAAGATCAAGGTGCTCCAGGATTGGCCAGTCCAGTCACCAGATATGAACATTATTTAGCGAGTCTGGGGTAAGATGTAAGAGGAGGCATTGAAGATGAATATAAAGAATCTTGATGAACACTGGGAGTCTTGCAAGATTGCTTTCTTTGCTATTCCAGATGACTTTATTAATAAGCTATTTGAGTCATTACCGAGATGGATGCAGTCATGGGAGTCATACATAATATTAATTCTTTTTTCACTGCATCATGACTTTATATTCTACACTGTACATTATTTCTGTTAAGTGACAAGACTTCTGTCAAAGCAAAGTCAGACCTTTACTGTCCTAATTAAATAATAAGAAATCAAGGCATGACCATATTTTATTTTGGTAAATAAGCGTAATCTAGAGGCCTTTGCATTCCATATAAGCCACTTCTGATACCAAATGATCAACTAGAAGTCATGTTATTATTATTTGTTGATTCTAAAACTTGGATAAGCGACAGAACGTTTCTAGTGTAGTTTTGTCAATTTTTTTTGTTGTTAATGTCATTTTGCTATGTCTTTGTCTGAATTGTTTGAAAATTCCGACACCCATCCTATTAGGACAGCTGGAATTCCTCCAAGTACCGCAAGCACAACATTTTACCACTTGTATTGCATACATACTGATGAGGCCAGTGTCTCTCTATTGTTCTGAAAACTAAAGTTGTTCATGTTCTCATCCCTGATACTCAAATACCATTAACTTATCTGCGTTGAAGGGGAGGGGCTTACCGATAATTAAAAAAAACTCATTCAGGGACCAATATGGGAGTGGCTAACCAATGGGCGGAGCCTCAGTGCTGAAAGGAGCCTTACTTGAAAAGCACTTTAGAAGATACGCAAACTGAATCGAACTGTATATTGAACATGTACTTTGAACCTGGATATTGGGATCAGTCTTTGAGCGAAGAAAGACTGCAAAGCACTCCATACACGGACTATTACAGAATTATAATGCACACAAAATGAATTACTGCTGTTAGACGAATGAATGTTTGTTTAAAACCTACTTTTTTCAGGTTTATGATCATTTCTTTATTGATGAAGTGCTGTTTCGCTACGCTTCACCTACCATGATAAACTGTACCGTGTTCCAGTTACAGGAACATTTGCTTTAAGCAGCCTTTCCACTATCACTGACATTCATTTGAGATTTACTAGCTGTTAACTTTTTCACCAATGCTTGTTACCTTCCCTCATTCAGTCTACAAATATATCCACTGAAAAAGAAATGAAAGTTTTACAGATATAGTGTTGAAAATAAGGCATTTTAGTTTAAAAAGAGAGTTGGTCTAACTAATTTCAATCCATGAAAGTTATTTACATTTTAATAATATTTATACATTTTTTACACAGACATGCTGACTTTATTAAAAAGGCAAAGGCCAGTTCAAATATTTTCACATCTATATCTTGATTTGATTAAGTGTACATCCCCCTTTTTGAATTATATGTTTAAAATTCTGCCAAATTCCATGACGTTCCACGTCATGATTCCATCCTTATTTTCCACACCGCAGTAGCCATATCAATGGCAGTTAATAAAAATTTCTCTCCATTGGAAACATTTGTCGGAGATAGAGAGAAGGCAGCTTTACAGTTAACACTACTCTAGAGCAGTGTTTCCCAACCATGTTCCTGAAGGCACACCGACAGTACACATTTTCAACCTCTTCCTAATCAAACACACCTGAATCAACTCATCAGGACATTAGAAGGGACTCCAAAACCTGAAATGAATGGGTCAGATAAGGGAGACATCCAAAAAATGTACTGTTGATGTGCCTCCAGGAACAGGGTAGGGAAACACTGCAGTAGACAACACCACTAATACATCCATCTCACAGGGAAGTGCTGGAGAAACACAGGGGGATTGCAAAAGTTGAGTGCATCTTTTGCCGGTATGATATTCAGAAATGCGAGCTCTCATTTTACTCTGTGCCCATCTGATTTTTACCATCCCTCAAAATGTCTTCTGTCAATGCTTAAGTTAAACATTGTCTTTAAACTTGTGTCCTTAAGATACCAAACATTGCCTGGGAAATTCCACAAGCTATTTAAGACATGGTACATAAAATAGGGAGTGAGATAAATACAAATATGTTTTATCATAAAAAAGCACACTGAAAGCCTTCATAAAGCATATTAAAAGATGCAGCTACAGAGAATACATTCTTAGATTTTTTTTTTATCCAAAATTGGCACAGAAAATATCTTTAAAAATTCATTCCGGTATTAGAGCTGCATGAATCTGAAAAAATTTTAGGCTATTTTAGGCTATATCCTGTGAACAGAGATGCTTTTTTTCTCAAAAGCAGAAAAAATGGCAGTCTAAGCAAGGAGCATTTTCATTCTAAAATGGCGGTTTTATAACAAAACTGCACTAGTGTAAAAGCAGCTTGAGACTGAGATCAGGATTGTCCGTCATTTCTGAATAAACAACAAAAATAAGAAGTAATTTACTAGCAGATTGAACAAAATTATATATATATATATATATATATATATATATATATATATATATATATACACAGTTGAAGTCAGAATTATTAGCCCCTTTTGATTATTTTTACTTTTTTAAATATTTCCCAAACAATGTTTTACAGAGCAAGGAAATTTTCACAGTATGTCTGATAATATTTTTTCTTCTACAAAAAGTCTTATTTGTTTTATTTCAGCTGGAATAAAAGCAGTTTTGAATTTTTTAAAACTATTTTTGGGACAAAATTATTAGCCCCTTTAAGCTGATGTTTTTTTTTTCGATAGTCTACAGAACAAACCGCCATCATACAATAACCTGCCTAGTTCACCTTATTAACCTAGTTAAGCCTTTAAATGTCACTTTAAGCTGTATAGAAGTGTCTTGAAAAATATCAAGTAAAATATTATTTACTGTCATCATGGCAAAGATAAAATAAATCAGTTATTAGAAATAGGTTTTTAAAACTATTATGCTTAGTAATGTGCTGAAACAATCTTCCCTCCATTAAACTGAAATTGGAGAAAAAAATAAACAGGGGCGCTAATAATTCAGGGGGGCTAATAATTCTGACTTCAACTGTACATAGTTTTTTGAATTTGTCAGTTTGAATAAGTTGAGAAATCCCTCATCCTGGATGAATCAGCTTTTTGGATTCATCTCTTGAACACAATGTTATGCCTTCTATTGGCGTACGAATGTAATTTAAAGCACAAAGTTGATTTAATATGCTGATTTTGATCCAAACTATTAACTTTGTTCCAGTAATGGTATGATAATTTGACTGTTTGCAATTTAATCTTTTTAAGATGAATCGTAGAATTACTCTCCAGCCCTGGAAACACAAGCATTCGTCATATTTGGTGCTAGCTGATGATTAGCACAGCCTACAAATGATAAGTCACTCAGAAGTGCTTTAGAAGTACAATATCCTAAACGACAATAGGAAACACAGACAAACAGTTTAATGAATGTAAGAGTCTTTGAATGTCGTTACATTTATTGCCTATATACTGATGCACAGTAAAGATACAAAAAACGAGAATGATTTTCCTGCTGTTTTAGTGTTTTTATAGGCTTTGAGTAGAAAAATAATAGGACCAGAGGGAATAGTGTTATCACAATCCTGCAGCTCAACAGAAAAAACAAGGTTTATAAAATATACAGCTCCTCAGAAATATATAACAAACAATATAAACATTGCACATATTCACTGTCACATATAAAACAGATTTAAAGGGCACTCTGTGTGTGTGTATTGCATATGTATGTGTATTGATTTCTGTGTGTGTGCTTTTAAAGGCACTGCGTTTGAGTGCTTTTTTATTTTCGGGATCTGGACTTTCTGCCTGCAGAATTCCAAAGAAATGCTTTAGTGGACTTCAAATGTCGATACAACGTGAAATATGGAACAATTTCAAGCACAGGAAATGAATGCGTGTCTGTGGAAACATGATAGTGGCTGCTGTGAAAAGTGTCTCATGATATTGTCTTTGGTTCATTTATTTTGCACTGAAGGGTCATTCATTCATTCTGAAGTATATTTGTGTCTCATTTTCTGAGCTCAAAGGCACCTTTAAGAGAAGAGTTTGTGTTTTGTGCATGTGTGGGATCACCAGTTACTGCCATGGCTGCTGATGGATTGACAAGTGCTGAAACGTTTCTTCACTATGAGACTGATGTACGCCTTCATCAGCTTTGCGATGTCCACCACCTACAGAGAGACACAGACAGAGAGAAACCAGTTATTTTACTCACTGATATAACAATGTAAGTTTTCATTCATATTTTGTTTTAGATATCATTTTTTTTCGCCATTTAATTATTTATGCAAACTTTTTGTACGTAAGGATAAACCAATGATACTTTAACATAATTACATACTAAACACAAAGAATGTTTTCTACATTTTATATACAGACGACCACATTGTTACATTATCCCAGGATCTGTGAAAAGGACTACATGCACTGTAGTTGGCGATGTCACTTTGTTACAAAAACACGCTCCTGTAGCCTATTATTGTTTTTGGGGCTGCCAAGTATGTTTAAAAGACTACAGACTAAAGGTGTAATACATAAGCATGTAATGTTTTCACAAAATCCTGTTTCTTTAGTATATGTGTGGATGATAAATTGTATCATTTTCAAAACCTTGCTATTTAAAACTGGTTTTCAAGTTTGCATTTTCAGACCCCAAAATCCAGCAGTCTAAAAAAGGAACATCATAAAAAGTAGTGCAGGGAAAAGATTAATCGTGATGAATCGCATCCAAAATAAAAGTTTGTTTTGACATAATATTTGTGTGTGTGCTGTGTATATTTATTATGTATATCTAAATACACACATGCATGCATATATTTGAGAAAATGTTTATTTATATTTAGATATGAAATATGTATATGAGGGGTGACATGGTGGCTCAGTGGTTAGCACTGTTGCCTCACAGCAAGGAGGTCACTGGTTCAAGTCCCGGCTAAGTCAGTTGGCATTTCTCTGTGAAGTTTGCATGTTCTCCCTGTGCTGGCGTGAGTTTTCTCCTGGTGCCTCGGTTTCCCCTACTGTGTAAACATATGCTGGATAAGTTGGTGGTTTATTCTGCTGTGGTGACCCCTGATGAATAAAGGGACTAAGTCAAAGAAAAATGAAGGAAATATGTAAATAACACAAATTATATATTATTTTAAATATCATTCATTCATTCATTTTCCTCTGGCATTGCCGCTTTATTAATCAAGGGACGCCAAAGCGGAATGAACTACCAACTTATCCAGCATACACTCTTGTGTTCAACACATACACTACGGCCAATTTAGCTTTTTCATTTCACCTATGGTGCATGTTTTTGGACTTTGGGGGAAACCGGAGCACCCGGAGGAAACCCAACACAGGAAGCACATGCAAACTCCATACAGAAATGCCAACAGACCCAGCCAGGGTTTGAACCAATGACCTTCTTGTTGTGAGATGTAAGTACTGAGCCACCGTGTCGCCTAATTTAAATATCTATGCAAAAAAAGTTTTGTATAGTTTTGTTTTTATGTATGCGTGTGCATTACATAGACATAATAAATACAGAAAATAAACACACATATCTTATGTCAAAACATCTAGACTTAATTACATCTGTAATTAATTCTGTAATTACATTTATAATTACAATTTTGACCATCCCTTACACCTTAACCTACCCATACCATCAAACCTGTCCCTAACCTTACCCATGTCCAACCTCAAAAGCACCAGAAGTGTTCTGCAGTACATTATGAGCACATTAAGTACATTGTATTTATATTCTGATGTAAGTGCATAGTAATTAAGGACACTTAATACAAAGTGGGACGAAAAATTTAAGTTAAATAAATGTACCCCGATTGAAAATGTCTTTGTTGTCTTGACATAAGTTGTAATTTTTTCAATTGACATTTTTTTTTATTATGTTTGATGAAGAGACATGATCATTCAGGCCTTTATAATGAAACACCAACAATAAACAAAATAATTAAATTAAAATAAAAAAATATATATTTTAAAAAGAGGATTTATAGTTGCGCTCAAAGTTGCACTCACAATTTTATTATGGGTGGTTGCTATATCGATGCACTGATGATAATAAAATATTATTTAACTATTACCTTACTTTACATGTTTCAGATATTCATTCATTTTCCTTCGGCTTAGTCCCTTTATTCATCAGGGCTTGCCACAGCGGAATGAACCGGCAACTTATCCAGCGTACGTTTTACACACCGGATGCCCTTCTAGCTGCAACTCAGTACTGGGAAAATGTTTCAAGTATCTGTTTTATTGTAATTCTAGGAAGCATCTTACATTTACACTGAAAACAGGCAAATCCATGTCATTTCAAACCCAAGAAGTGACTGAATTGTCTGATTAATCATGAAACATACTTTTCCCCCCTATAAAATAAATAAACTACTGTATAAATTCCCCTTACTTTATGAACAAACAAACAAAACAAATCTAGATAGTAAAGAAGTGTACAATTTGAGACAGCCACTGATGAGCTAACTCAAACTTAATTCCTGGAGGGCCAAAGCCCTGCACAGTTTAGTTCCAACCCTGCTTCAACACACTTACCTGTAGGTTTCAAACAAGCCTGAAGGACTCAATTAGTTTGATCAGGTGTGTTTAATTAGGGTTGGAACTAACTTGTGCAGAGCTGTGGCCCTTTTGGAACTGAGTTTGACACCTGTGATCTAGAACAAACATTAAAGCATTAATCATAATAAATCCAACTTAAATGATCTCCTTAATGGTTCAAGACACCCTGCAGTATTTAAATTTTTTTAACAGATTTGTGTATGTTGAGCATCACTTTAGACAGGGGTGTCCAAACTTGGTCCTGGAGGGCTGGTGTCCTGCAGATTTTAGCTCCAACTCGCTTCAACACACCTGCAAGGATGTTTCTAGACTGCCTAGTAAGAACATGATCAGCTAGGCCAGCTGTGTCTAATTGGTGTTGGAACTAAACATGTTAGCACCTGTCAGCTTTAATTGTGGTAAAAAATGGAAAATTTTGAGCTTTTGACAGCTAGTTTCATCATCTGGGTTTAAAATCATTATTGGGGCGGGATCAAAATCAGTGACGTATTGCGAATCTGCTGGTGCAGTGATGACGCGTCAGTTTCTCATTATATTCATAGCGGAGTTTTCTTATCCTATGAGAAGACCCTGCTTATTAGTTATTCATGAGAGCACGTGCAAGTCCTCCTCATTTATAGTGTTTATATAAACATGATTATCCTTATAATGATATAACAAAGTGTGGTTGTGTGTATATGAAATTACGAATGACAAATGTATCAGGACATTAAAACAATGTTTATTTCTTTGCATTTTTACTTTTTAATAATATAATTATATAAGTTAGTGTCTCATTTTGTGAGCCAACTGAGTTGTTCGCTCCCCTCTTTCTCCCCTGCTCTGCTGGCCAAGCAAACTCGTCCCTCTGCTCGCAGTGCTCCTCACCCATCTCTGAGCATTTTTTGAAAAAATTCAGAGGTAGAGTTGATCCGAATGAGGGGGGTTTCATGGCCCTATAAATGTGTATTTTTATTTTACTGATCAGGCAATACTTGATCTACTCCAACTGCCTAATTTTACTGTTGTTTATAGAGGCATAGGAAAAGATCAGTACCATGCTTGTGTTGAAGAGCAGCTCTCGTCCTTCCACGCTGATCTTGTAGACATTTGGTTGAGGCGCACCGAAGGACAGTATGACCTCATAGAGAAACACCTCGAGAGGCCATGGCTCCCCGCGCTTGTACACACACACACCCTTACGACTGACACCCAACCACAGCTCACCAGGATACACACCATCTACACACTGAAGAGAACAGAGAGACTTCATTCAGTAACATAATGGATGATGGCTCAAGTGTGTGTGAAGGTTTTTTTATAACTGTTAAAACTGAAACTAAGATTAAAACTACTGGTCAATTGTTTTTTCCATTAATGTCTACATGTTTATTTCTAAATGTATGTGTGTCTATCGTGATGCATTTGTGTGTGCATATGCTCACCTCCACATCAAACAGTGTGGATCCATACCCCTGCCACTCCTTAATAAGACCCATGTATTTTTTCATGGCTTGATCTTGCTCCATCCCCTGCAGTTTACGCCACTTCTCCACCAAACAACTCTTTAGCCCCGCCTTCTCATCTTGTAGCCACACCTCTATGGCTGCAGGCTCCTCCTCTTGGCGCTGTCGCCCCAGTGTCCCGCGGAAGCTCCGCCTCAGTGTGCCCTCCAGAAAACTGCTCCTCTTTCTGTCGGTGGACGGTGTGGCAGAGGCGAAGCTCCGTGCCGACTGCTGTACCCGCGCTCGCAGTCGCTCCATGGGGAAAACCTGATCCAGCTCCGGCAGGGCACTCTGGGTACTGTAATCTCCCAGCAGATACTGCAGACGCAGGGCTGCCAGAAACTGCAGAGTCTCTTCTGGGGCAGGATACCGACCTCTGATGACTGCTTCATGGGCCTGAGGGAGATTCACAACACATTTAAAAGGTCTCGTAAAATGAAAATACATTTTTTTAGATGTTAGTTTAAATTTGTTAGTTTTGAATACATCTATAAGCGTGTGTACTCCAAAACAGTTTCTCAATTATTTTTTTTTGACATTACCTTATACTTTAGTTTCTCATTAAATCATAACCAATCAAATGCTCTCTAGTAATGTTTTCTGACATTCCCCGCCCCCTTCAAGATGCTTCTCATTTCATTTCTTTTGATAGATACCACTCACACTGGCAGAGCTCTAACGCTATTGGCTATTTTTTTATAAAGGGGAGGAGCTACTATATGTCCTACCCTGTTTCAGTGCAGTTTACATCAAATTACAAATAAAAATTGCACATTTCAAAGCACTTCATGGGACTTTAAAGGAAAGTTTACAGTAAAGAATGCAGAACAGAAATCCCTTTTTTTCTTAAAGTCATTAGATGCATTAAAATTTTACTGTGCATACATGATTGCATTATGAGGGCCTTAAAGGGCTAGTTCAACAAAAAAAAAGAAAAATCTGTAATTAATTACACCATTGCCTGGAGACTTTTGTTCATCCCCCATTCTCCATTGACAGAAACATTGCAGAGACGTTCAAAGTCTAGTCAAGGAACCAAAAATATTGTCAAAACATTCTAAGTGACTTCAACTGTAATCACACTAAGCTCCAAGAACACTTCTATGCACCAGACAAAAAAAGAAAAAAAGACTTTGCCTATGTCTGCTACATCAGATTAGAGTGCACATTTATTATGGGCATCAGGACGCTTGTTGTGAACCCTGACCTGACACAGAAGAGAAGACAACAGTCAAAACAATAGACAATTTTATTTATTTATTTATTTTATTTTATTTACAGTTTTTTGGTGCACAAAAGTGTTCTTGGAGCTGTATTGCTACAGTTTGAACTACTGAAGTCACATGGAATGTTAAGACAGTGTTTTTGGTTCATTTCCTAGACTGTGAATGTCATTAGTCTATTGCTGTCTTTGGAGAATGAGGAAGCACTCAAATTTCATCTAAAATATCTTAATTTGTGTTTTTAAGAAGACGAGTAATTAATAACAGAATTTTCATTTTTGGGTGAACAAACTCTTCAAAACGCAAACTATTCAAAAGTGAAAATCATGCTATTTAACAACAAAAAATGTTATTCAGCCTATATTGGAACCTGAGGGAACCTGACAACCAAAAGAGGAATATCAGACTACATAAATGTGTTGTGTGTGAACAAAACAATGTGTATGTGTGCAGATTCTATACCAGGTTGCATCGCTACTGTATGCACAATACGCTGTTTTTGGTTGTATTCATGGATCTGTGTAAATGGAATGATTTTGAATATGAGAACATTTACATTCTTAAGTGTGCTGATACCTATCAAAACTACTCACTGAAAGAACTTGGTTTACCAGTTTACATGCAAATCAAAAACCTAGTAATGCAAATGAACTTTTTGCAAGACTGTATTTAAAAATGTTTTTTCCCTGGTAATAATGTCAACATGCAAGCATCTATGCATTTTACTTTGTTATATTTACATGAAAATGTACATGTTCACACACTTTATTGTTTTTTTAAAAGATTGTTGTTGTTGTTTTAGAATGTTTGTGCAAGTTTTAGTTTACGTGTCTTGTGTAACCGTAAACTTAATGAGTGATTTATTAAATAATTAATTCAAACTATTTTTGATTCATTTAGAAACTAAGTGACCGTCTTTATGAATAGCCAATTGAATCACTGTTCAAAAAATAGATTCATTCGGGAATGAAAGGCTGCAGTGTTGCTTAGACTTGCAAAAGCTCTTTTCCAATCTGGTTTGAAACTATTCCTTCAACAGATTAAAAAAAAAATCCATAATAAGAAATATATTTAAAGATATTAAAGATACTAATTGAAATCAAACCTGCTCGAACATGAATGCAAACTCCACACTGTCAGCAGGTACATTCTCAGGTTCAGAGAAACAGAACAGCTTGAAATAAAACTTCCAGCTCTCTCCGTCCTGCTCTTTATTGGCCAACCTGAAAGAAATAGAGAGAGAGAAAGTTGTTCCATATAATTCAAACAACTCATAGAATGTGCTATGAAATTTGTTTTTGTATCAAGATACAGCAAATATTCCTATAATATCTGATTTCAAGAATGCTGTTGTTGTTTCCGCTGTGATGGAAAAATTTCTGGTCCTTAGCGTGAAAGAGCCTTTTATATTGTAAGGAACAACCCATTTAATAAATTTTTTTTTTTTAATCAAAATTCTCTCATGGTCTTTCATCTCATTTGTTTACATTTGATGCTATGTCTTCAGAAGCCTTTTAGAGAGTTATAAATTAGTTTATGCAACCTACAGTATTAAAATTGTTGTAATATATTTATATCATATTAAATTTAAATATTAAAATATTTGTGGTTTTGGACAGACTGAAGCTGGTGTGTAAAAGGTGAGACTCACTTCTCAAACTTGGCGAGGATGTCGGCCACCACAGTCCTGCTCTCTATGGCTCTGTCTGTGTTGTCGTTGTGTTCAAACAAAGCAAACATGTTCCTGCAGTCCTCCATAGACAGACCCTTCAGCAGCTTCTCCACCACCTGCACACCATCAGACACACACACACATATACAGGTCAGATAGCTTTTGAACACAGTGTCAGACCAAGTGCCAAAACACATTTGCAGCCAATAAGCAGTAAGAGGCGTGTCTTGTAACTAAGGGAGAGATATCAAAAAATGGGCGAGGTCCTGTTGGGTTATGGGCATGTTTGTTTTGTTGCTTTCAAATATCAACACTGTTTGGCAAAATTCGCTTCATGCACCTTTTAACCCTTTGATGCTCAAGCTATATGCAGTGCTTCACACACAGATTTTACTTGGGCGGGCCACCTAGGAATATTAACAGCCATATATTAAATGACACATTTTTTTTTTTTTTTACTAATACTATCATCCTTTTAAACTTTTTTTTTGTATCCGCCCAATTTAAACAAACATCTGCAATCAATTACGTAGTGGAAAATCTTCTCTCATTTACCCACTCTCGTTTACTGTGTGTGCAATACCTGTCAGCACTCCCTGTATTCTCCAAAGAGACGCGACTTTTTGGGACTTGTGTGGCTGGGATGTGTGTGGCTGGGGTTTTTAAATCTCTTAAAATGTCAAGGATTTGTTTTTGGTTTTGAGAAACACTCTAAATGACTCAGAAAAACTTCATTAAACAGTCAGAGAGGACGAAATTAGATCTAAATTGGCTGCTAAATATTTGAACACCATTAGAAATGGCTAAACAACTAATTTTTCTTATTAAAATAATCTACACATTTTATTCTTATAATTATATTTTTCTAGAGATACTGTCTGTTTTTATTCCTTTTTTTCTGTCATTTATTTATCATTTCCTGTATATTTTATTAATTTGATGTTAATATATTGCATATTTTATACATGTAAAATGCATTGGCAACACTGTACAAAATGCTCCTGAATAGCTCAAAAATGAGAGAAATAGTGGATTTCTTTCTTTTTAAACTTTAATCTATTGAAAAGAAACAGTGTATAACAATTTCTTAATAAATTAAAAAATAATTTTTTTTTGTTGCATATAGATATCTATTTCTGTGATGTGGGTAAAAAGTGTCCTTTAATATGGCTACCACCGCAGGTTTATTTCAAACCTGTGGGAAGCACTGAATGTGCAATCTTTTTTTAATGCACAAAATGAGTCTAAAATGACATATAAATATATAATATTCATTCTGTTATTTCAATAATGGCTGAGCATTTCTTTGCTGAATTTTTAAAAGAAGTGTGTTTTAAAGGGTATTATTGCAGATATTCATTCATCACGTATCTGTTTTTTATTTTTATTTCCACAAATCATATCCACTTGTCAAGACATGTCGTATTAAATACGATTTCCAGATCCAAGACGCTACTCATTTCAATTGAGAAAATATTCATTTATGGACACTTTTGAATCCCATCCCATATTAAAGTGAATTTTATATAAAATCATGGTGTACACAACACTCTCTGGCCTCAGAGACACCAATATTTTAACAATATATAAAAAATTAATTACTTTCTGGTCATTGAATAATAGGCATGGATATATACATTGCGATCGTGATTTTCGAAATTATTACAGCGCTTTGTAAACAGTAATTATTACCACCTGATGAGCCTACCCATACAGTTTAATTTAGTGCTTGTACCCGAAAGCCACTTTGTGTGACGTCACACTTAACAAGCAGATAGCATCTTTATTTCTTCTATATAAATGAAACAAAGTTTTTGTACATCAGTTTTGCACATATGGGACAAAAAAAGACTGGATATTTGGTCATTTTGCAAGTAAATGATTATTCAAAAGGTATGATTGGAAATGAAATGGAAATGAAACATGACTAAGGAATACTGAACGATGAAAGTCATTTCTTGCAAAGAGAACAGAAACTTATTCTGGTCACTCCAGACCTGTTTTGTGGATCAAAAGGTTAAAGCGTGTCTCATTTTCAGATGTGTAAGTGTGGATGTGTGTATGTGTACCTCTCCGGCAGTTGTGTGCGAGTTGATGGTGATTTTGCAGGATCCTCCACCGTGGCAGTAAACGGTCGCTGTCATTTCCTGTCTGCTTAGGATGGCCCTCAGCTCCTCCTGTGAAGGAACATACTCTCGTCCACGCACGTGTCGCAAGGCATCCTGGGAAAATGCAGCATAGCGCTCCATCTCTGTGCCTGGGTACAGCTCTCGTGTCCTAAGAAGAAAATCAGACACACACTGATCAGTTGACATGGTTGAATGACATCACCGCTCTTTATTTTTTATAATGTTGTCTGGAATTAGAATGTACAGGTATGTGGTTGACTAAAACACAATATATTAAAATAAAAAAACTAGTAAAGTGCTCATGAAGTTTCTTCCGAATTAAAAAAATAATTAAATAAAAAAACCAAAAGGAGCCATGTTTTCAGATGTTTATATTGATTATCAATGTGTTAACTTCAAAAAGTTCAATATTTCATGGAACAACCCTGATTTTCACTTACAACATATTTTATATAAGGCAAAATCTAATTTTAAACCTTTAAAAAGTTTAATAACAAAATGAACATTAAGAGGATAAAAACAACCCCAAATCAAAATAAATATTTGAGCTTCATATATTAAATAATATACTTCACGTTGTCTTAACAAATGTGTAAATCATTTCCCAAAAATGAAAAAAAACTATATCTTACTATATTACAAAAAGTACTTGCTTCTACAGTAGACGGTGGCTGAATCTCCGCAACAATAAAAGCAATAATAATTTTTTTGTGTTTAGTCGAATTAATTGTTTTGAACTGATGTCAATCATTTGTTCTTTAGCTGGAGGTGGGGTGCAGGTGTAGTGCTTTGCCTCCAGTTTTGTTTATTATTATTTTTTTTTGATGTCGTGTTTCTACAACACTTAACGACAATCCACTTCCTCTCTTCGATGAGTTCAAAAAAACAAGAATCTATTGTAAATATGTAAGTCTCCGGCCTGCCATTGTTTGTGTTCAGTTGTCGTGAAATAGTTTGCGTCTTCATTAAGTACTTGCTTACTTTTTAGCATACCGGATATGCCCTCTGGCTCCAATATCCTGAGTTATTCAGTTATATATATTCAATGGTTGTAATATATTTATATCATAACTTGATATAATAGTTCACCTGTGTAATGTAAAACTATACTTTAGGGTCTTTTTTGGTCTTTCAGACCTTTTATAAGCCTATTATTAACAATCATTTTGCTCTGTATTAATTTTTTTGGAAACTTAAACATAAGTTGGAAAAAAATGCATATAATAGAAATCTTTAGTAACACTGTAAAAGCCTTCTTGACATTTTTGATAAATTGAATGTAACCTTGAAAAATGAAATTCCTACAAAAAACATTTACTGCCTTTTAATAGCATACTGCAAAATGGCTAACTCTCTATTATCACATTTTTTATATTATCTGTATATTTATCTCATTTTTTTATACTTCGTTTTTTTTAATTTTTTAGGAACATATAACCAGTGGGAACAAAACAAACAAACAAAACATAATACATATATACACATACATATATAAAAATATGAAATTAACCTCATCAAGAAAATAAATAAATAAGTATAAAATTAAATATAATAAAAGGTTGCCAAACATATTCTCGCAATTATGCATAACCCCTAGAATTATGTAAACGTTAAATTATAGATAATTTTTTAGTCATAGTGGAGAAAGCCAGCCATTTACTCTATTTCTTATCAAAGATCTCTATTTGTAATTAAAGTGCATGTGTCATTTTTTCCCATTTTCTCAACTTCTGTTATTATTTTGAACTGTTCATCTTTAGTTGGTGGTTCTTCTTTACATCATTTCCAGGTTATAGCTTTTTTATTTGTTACCAAAAATATCTTAAATAGATATCTATCCTCCTTTTCAAGTTTATTAGGAATATCTCCGAGATAAAGTACTTTGAACGATCTAGGAATATGAAGATTAAAAATAGCATTGATGGCGGAGTTTCCTAAAAACTGTTAATTCTTGAGCACTGCCAGAATATATGAGCATGATGTGCCTCATTTACCTCACAGTTCCTCCAACAAGGATTGTAATGATTTAATTCTTAGTGTAATAAAAAATCTGATCAAGTTTTTTCCAACAAAAATCACGTCACATTCTTAAGCTTTTTGAGGTATGTGGGACAGCACATATTTTAACTCATTGGTCTTAATTCAAAATAATGCCTACTTCCTTTTCCCATTTTAATCGTATATAGTCTGTTGAAAGTCCTCTAGAATTAAGTATTGCTCTATATAATTTAGAAATTGTATTATTCATTTTTTGCTTGTATGTCTGAATGAAAATCTGAACAAGCTGGTTGTTCTAATCCTCATCCTGTATTTCTTTCATATAATAGTCACGCAACTATAAATATCTAAATAGATCTTGGTTTATAAGACCAAACCTATCTTTTAAAGTTTGGAAGCATTTATAAAATCTTCTGACAAACTGGACTGAACACTGACCTCTTAAAGTGAAACTTGAGGTATTTGAGGATGCTTCTGGAGGCGGGGCTGAAGGTGCAGCACAGGCAGGCTATGATTCGCCAGCTGTTGATGTGGGCGGGGCCTCCAGGTTTGGGGTGGTGTGAGGTCTGCTTGATGAGCTGGCAAAAGAGCTCGTCTCTCAGAGGCCGCAGGTCGTGCGTCGTCTGCAGGAGTGTCTGGATGTGAGGGATGGCACTGACCTCTGTCTCCAGCTGATGGAGGACATTGAAGAGCTTCAGGGCTTCAGCCTGCAGGGTGCCATAACTTCTACCTTTGTCAGCTAAAAAGTGCACACGCAGGATGAAGGTTAGTGTGGATTTCAACATTTATAATGAATCAAATGAAGTCACATGTTTTATATCACACATTATACAATAAAGAGTGTTACAGAGCATCATCAGAGTAATTGATTAATTAAACAAAATACATTTTTATTAATTTTTTTAAAGGAAAAGAAACAATATTGAAAAATTCATCAATAAAGAAATAACATCAATTTCAGCAATAAACAACACTATAGAAGACAACAATATCATTATTTAGATCAGTATAGTTGATCCGTTTCTGTTTAAAAAATAGTATGAATACTACAAATTAATTATTATTGAAGTTAAAACAGAAATAAAAGCTTTATAAAAGAAAACTGGCATTATTCAGCGTACGCTAGTTCAATGTTGATTCAGTTTAGTTCAATAATAGTGCGAAGTCCAAATTATGTTCTCTTCCAGTAGTTTAAGCGAGGTAAAATATATGTATAAATATTTAGAATAAAGCCATCATGTAACTCATGTAACTTTTAAATTTTGCATCATTTTGTATAAATAATGTTTTCTGTAGACATAATTATAAACAAATCCTGCTTATTCTCTTTTCTTATAACATGTTTACTTGTGTGGATGTGGGATACTGCATGACAACAATATTTTTCTCATAAAGGCACACTGCAGTTTAATTGTCTCCTACATTAAATGTTTAAAGTCTTTAAGGTCAGGCTGATTCTCAGTGATTTCAATGTTTTTATTGTTCATCAGCTAAAAATCATCATTGTGAAAGTTATCTGTTATTAAAATAAAGAAATCTGCCATTATTTTACAATGAAACCAATTTTAAAACCTGTTTTTCAAAACAATTGCTGTAATCATTCAAGATGTGAACAGACCACTACAAATTTGAGAAACAACCCCCCCCCCCCCCCTCGCATATAGTTATGTGTGATGAGGGCTTTGGGACTTGTACATCGTTTTAAAGCATAGCCCTACTGAAGACAATACTGTATTACTCAATAGTGAATTTTAACTTGTGTTTTACTCACAGCTTTGTTGTGCATCTCCATAGGGTAAAGGTAGGAGTGCTGTGTGCAGAGGGTGGTGTGTGTACCGCAGTATTGGATTCCTCTTGTAGATTTGTTCCACCACCTCTGAATTCAGGCAGTTCTCCTGAAATCAGTTATTTATCAGTATTTCAAGAAAACGATGTTACCTTAAACAAGTCATTCCTGGTCTTCAACATCCAAACAAAACTATTCAAGCCTAAAAGAAAACACTTAAAAGTGGGAAATAATTTAATAAAAAAAGTTATATTACTTTCTAACCATCATAGAGGATATAAAACATGACATATAATTTGTCAACCTAAAATAAATAAATGTAATTATGCAAAAATGGACCAAAAGTCTATTAAAGACAAATCCTTTTCATTTAAAAAAAAATTCTTAAAGAACATTTACACACAATACAACAGTAAAGATTACAGTTTTCTTCTTGATTTAGATTTAAAAAAAAAAAAAAAAAAAAAAAAAAAAAATATATATATATATATATATATATATATATATATATATATAATATGCAATATAAAGTAAATATACATACATTTATATATATATAATATTCAATAATAAAATTATATATATATATATATATATATATATATATATATGCAATAATAAAATTTAAATGTAAATAAAAAATTTATAAAAATAAAAATATGATATGCAATAATAAAATAAAAAAATATACAAAATATAAAATATATAAATATAATATGCAATAATGAAATGAAAAACAAAATAAAAATATAATATGCAGTAATAAAATTTAAATATACATAAAATATAAATAAAAAAAATATAATAAGCAATATTAAAATAAAAAATATCTAAAAAATGAATAGAAAATATATATAATATGCAATTATAAAAAAAAAATATATATATATATATATATATATATATATATATATATATATATATATATATATATATATATATATATATAAATTACCAAAAAAAATATATAAAATTCAATAATAAAATAAATATATATAAAAAAATATATATAATATGCAATAATAAAATATAAATATAAAAAATATAAATATAAAAATATATATATAAATAAAAATATAGTATCCAATAATAACTTAATAATATATATGAAATATAAAAAAATATGCAATAATAAAATGTAAAATATATAAAAAAATATATAATATGCAATAATAAAATAAAATATATATAAATATCTAAAAAAATAAAAATATAACATGCAATAATAAAATAAAAAACTAAGAAATATATAACTAAAAACTAGTAAACAATATATAATTTAATAAGTTAAATTAATTAAATATCAATATAATTGATATCAGTTTATATATTTAGTTGAATAGTTTTAGTTAAATAGTTGAATATATATATATATATATATATATATATATATATATATATATATATATATATATATATATATATATATATATACGTTTAACACAAGTCATTTAAAATACATCTAAAATATGCATGCACTTATCTGTGTGTTTTACCTTGATGTCCAGTATAAGCCGCTGCGTGTTTGTGTCGATGAGCGGTTTGCTGTCGATGACGGTCTGCACAGCGTTGGCCCATCGACTAGCCTCCGTCTGCAGCTTGGAGTACAGCCTGTATGAATGCTTATGGCCAAACACACTCACGTTCCAGTACCCTAGACACACATAACAATGGGACAGAGTCTAAGAGATCTGTAAAGGTGTATATTGGTGTACTGTGTTGTTTCTGTGCGCTCACCGGTCTCTCTGAAGACTCTCTCATCAGGAACGAGCACAGAGCAAAGGCTGTTCAGCACTAAAGAGCCCAGTTTCAGAGCGTTTCTCTCCGAGCTTTTATAATAGTCCACAGAATTGTGAGTCAGCACAAACCAGCGCTTCTTCAGCTTCAGATTCGCTTGACTGCTGCCTCGGATCTCTTTATATAGCCATCCTGCAAAACAAAACAGACAGGGAGAGATTTGACATACAGTTAAAGTCAAAATGATTAGCCCTCTTGTGAATTTTATTTTATTTTTTCAAATATTTTCTCAAATGATGTTTAACAGAGTAAATTCTTATGTACTTTCATCGTGGTACTGTCAAAGATAAAATATAAAATAAATGAGTTTTTAAAACTATTATGTTTAGAAATGTCTTGAAAAAATCTCTCTGTTAAACAGAAATTGGGGAAAAATATACAGAGGGGCTAATAATTCAGGAGGGTTAATGACTTCAACTGTGTTTTCACATTTTAAATTCCATGAACATTGTTAAGTATAATGGCTGTCTAAAGTTTAAATATGTATAAATCAGTCCCTCCAGGACTTTGCAGGGATTTTTTTGCAGGGACTTTTCTTAAAACTTATGACATTATTTGGAGTTACAAAATACTGGAGGGACTGTTATAAGTGAATGACATGAATTTTATTATCTCCACACATTTTGTATTTTTGTATGTATACAGATTAAATAAAGTTTAATAACTCAAACATTAAATTCTCAGCTTGCATGTCCTCCCCGTGATGGCGTGAGTTTCCTACGGGTGCTCCAGTTTCTTCCATAATCCAAAGACATGCGGGACAGAGGAATTGAATAAGCTAAAATTGGCCATAGTGTATGTGTGGGTGCGAATGCAAGAGTGTATTGTTTCCCAGTGCTGGGTTACAGCTGGAAGGGCATCCACTGTGTAAAACATATGCTGGATGAGTTGGCAGTTCATTCCGCTGTGACGACTACTGATTAATAAAGGGACTAAGCCAAAAAGAAAATGAATGAATAAATAAATATCAAATAAAATAGCACTAACAATTCTATAGTTTATAGCCAAACCCACTATAGTAAACATAAAATACAGTCCTAATAATACCAAACAAAACATCTTTGAAGGTTTTAGTTCGTCAATCTGGCTAAAGCATTGAAAATGTAACTCTTTTCTTTTTTTTTTACAAGTTAGAACAATGTTGCTCTGGTGATGAGATTCACACTCACTGTATGCAGACACTCACACACATGTAAACACTGAAAAATATTTCAGCCATGACTAGGAAGTGTTTTGAGTGAGATAGTAGGAGTGAAGTAAGAAAAGAAATGTATCTAAAAACACTACTCAGACAGTTGTTTAATAACCCACTGTAGCATGATTTGTGTGAGCTCTCACCCCTGATGATGAACTCTTGTCCCTGCACACGCGTGTCTCCTTTCGTTCGCTGGAGCAGCGTGATCCAGTGATGCATTTCTTCAGCTGATTCAGCCATGCAATGCAGCACACGATGGGCTGTGATTATAACAAAGGCATTCGGCCTGCAGAGAGATAAACACAAACATTTAAAACATTTTATTATCTGTACCTGATAATAGAACACTATTGTTTTTCCCAGAGTAAAAAAACACCCTGTAAGATTAGGTTGAAACTTTAGTAGATGTCTTAATCCAAAATAACTATAGTTAAATCCAAAATAATTCAAAATAACTTTATTTAAAGTGCATTAAAAAAGCAATTAATGACAAAACCATAAAAGAAATAAAAATTACAACCAAAAAAATAATAAAATAAAAATATATTTTTTAATCCCCTTTATTTAGCAATATAAAATGGAGCTTAAAAAAAAGAAAACACTATATATACAACAGTTCTGTCTGGTTCTCGAATCTAATTGGCAGATAGCCGAGAGATATTCTGCAATATCAGAATTGGTACAGCCTCTTCCCTCTTGTGTATTACTCCGCCCACATAGAGTGACAGCAGATCAATAAACTCACAACAGTTTGACAAATATTGCAGCTGTTCGACAACAATGTAGTTTTGAGCCTTTTTTAGGTGGGTGAGAATGTAGTTGTTTAGATTGCAACTATGCAGTTTGTTTATGAGGACAGTGTCTATTTTAAATTTTCGCATTGACGGCCATTAGCCTGTCATACTGAGCAGAACAAAAACAGTTGATGTTCTGCCACAAGATGGCGACAGAGACCGCATAAGTCCTTAGGGGAGAAAGACAACATTTCCTCAGTGCAAGTTTCAAACAACAGCTGAACAAATGGTTAGGTAAAAGGCATTCTAAGTCGATCACTCTTGTATATGTCGTAGTGCTGTATTTATAGTAATCTGCTAGTGTTTGCTTTGCTTTGGCTTTTTCGGGGATAATTAATGTGATATCCTGATTGCAACAGAGAAAATCTAGGAAATGTCTCTAGACTGATGTCATCTCATGCCGTTCAGCCTTATAATCTTAAAATGTCAGCAAAATCACCCGTTTTGTCTTCACTTTAGAGATTATGCTAGAGAATCATTCAAATACTAGCTCTAAAGTGACGTGCTTTTAAGCAACAGTTTCTGTTGTTCTGACGTCAGCTTTTGAGACTCTCTGTGTTTGATTTTCTTTTTTATATACATGATTATGCCATGGAACTGTTGTATAAATGCAGTATCACACGAGTAGCAGTGCAATATGGCTGTATATCAGCACTGGTGGGACACTAAGGCACTCGGCCTGCAGCCTCAAGCCAATGCACGCCTCCCACCAGTGCCCATATACAGCCAAATCACACTGCTACTCGTGTGAAATAGCTCATATACAAACACACACGCACACACACGTACAAATCTTTTTATTTAAACAGTTTTTACCTTTCTGGGTTGTCAGAGGCACATACAGAATCAATCATTCCTACATCCAAAGTTCCCTATAAAAAAAGAAAACACGAAACTCTTTTCTAAATAGCTTATAAATAAATGTGAACAGACATCTTGTTGTAGATCAATTTTGCGGTGGGTTTATATATATAATACTTACCACAGCATTCTGAGGATTAGCTTGTTCATCGTGCATCTCTCGAATCTCCTGTTCTGTTGACATGTGCACCTGACTCAACACGCTGAACCAATGACTGCGCACAGACACAGACAACAATTCAAAACCTCATTCAACTGTTTTACACGCTCAGTGAAATAACAAGGCTTGAAAGGAACATGATTGAAAAAACAAAACAAAAAACAACAACTCTTACCTGGAATCCTCTGCCGTTTCTGCTACAAGGTGATACGTTCTGCCTGGCATAACAATATCAATCCCATTCTCCTTCCCGGTCACATCAATAATCTCTCTAACAGAGTCGCACAAAAACAAGAGGAAAACAAAGACGAATAAGTAAAAATGAAACATGCCAAATGATTTATTCTTGCATAGTTGAAGTCTCTTGTATCAGTATACATTTGTTTTTTCTTTCTTAACAATGCAATTCTGACATGAGACCAAGACACGCTGAGCTGATGGTCAGCTATTGGCTTTGCTCAGTAAATCAGCTAAGCTCTGATTGGCTTTTCAGCTAAATATAAGAGTGTGAGAACAAAAATTGAAGCAAAGAATCAAAGTAAACAACGCAGATCAAGAGGGAACACAAAAAAAGCTGGCTGTCATTTAATCTAATTCATTAACTATTTGCAACATGTGAAGTTTATTTATAAACTAATTTCAAGAGGAGCACGTGATTATTATTGAACATGGCTGATCCCACATTAACTAATGCATGATTCTGATATACCTACCTGAGCTCAAACTCCCCTCTTGCCCTACAAACGGGAGGGAGCTCATTCCCAGGACAGCATGCCAAACAAGCTTTATTATTAATCATCAGCTAAGTGTGAACTCTTGAAATATGGATTATAAAATTATCAGATATATTTGCATCGCTGTGTGTTGAGTGAGAAGTACTGTGAAAATGATATGCAAACACTTTGTTTGTCGACGTTGGCTTAATGTGTCCCAGGCTTTAAAGTCAAATGCAACTTATTTTTTCTTGAAAATACAGTAAACTCTGCTGTCTTTTAGTAGCTTTAAAATAAAATAAAAAACATAGCATAAAAAAGGTGTAAAACATTTTTACGGGCTGCAGATTAAAAAGAAAAAGATTTTTTAAAACAAATTTTGCCCATTTTCATTCAGTTTTTTTTCCTCTCACTTTGACTTATGTATTTGACATATATTGAAGGTTTTCATTTTATTTTATTTTAGCCAAGTTATGACTGCAATGCCTTGGATAGGGACTACTTTGGGTTTGTTAACAGGGTAAAAGTTTAATTCTGTACAGAGATACTGTATTCTATTCTGTATTTTGCTTAAGAATCAATATAACTGTTCAGCACTAAAACAAAGTTTGGCCTCCTTAAAAGTGTCAAGGCAGCAGATTAAAACAAACCAACAAACAAAAAATCTATCAGTCCCTTAAAATAGGCAAAGGGAAAGCATATGAAGTGTTTCAAATCTGCTATCAACACACTGAGGTTAGAGACTGGTGACAAAAATAACAATAAACTGATCACTATCAAATATACTGTGCTGCATGATTGCATTGATATACTGTAAATATTCTGCATCCATAACTTCTGCATCTAAACGGAAACTACTACAAATTCATATGCAATAAGGTCATCTGAAATTACCTTTTCAGTGCTAATGTTTCAATGAACTTTCTGTAGTCTTACTTAGCTTCGTGCATGTCCAGCATGCCTTTCATCCTCTCCTCGGTGTCATTCTCGTAGTAAATGAGTTTGCTCTGTCTCAGAACGAACCAGCGGCGCCTCCAGTTGCGGCGGGACAGTGTGGAGGAGCCTCCGCCCTTCTTCATCAGCCAGCCCTGTTTCAGAGCCTCCTGTCGGCTCCTGAACCACAGAAATGTCTCATCCTTCAGCACACACCAACGACGCTTCCATGAGTTCAACAAGCCACCTGCAACATGCACCATCACAAATAAATATCTGATTGCAGTTAACACTTGTTTCATTTCAAAACATACAGGACCATTTATGGTAGTTCTATTTAATCTACTAACCCTGCTAATGGTTCGATGTCAAGTTCATGGAGTATAGAGTGATAAAATATTCCATATACTAACAATTTAAAACAGTGGTCACCAAACTTGTCCCTGGAGGGCCGGTGTCCTGCAGATTTTAGCTCCAACCCTAATCAAATACACCTGAACAAGCATAATCAAGGTCTTACTAGGTATACTAGAAACACCCAGGCAGGTGTGGAGGCAAGTTGGAGCTAAACCCTGCAGCGACACCGGCCCTCCAGGACCGAAATTGGTGACCCCTGATTTAAAATAACGGTTTGTGCTTAAATTACTTAAAAAAAACCTTTTGAAACGATCTGCAATTTTGTTTATGATTTTATAAACTTTGTTTTCCGCATACAACAACTTTTAAGCAGTCCATTTATTTTTCACACGTGTAAACACTGGGTCAGTAGTTCCTCATACATCATGCGTTACCTTCACATGATCAAAGAGCTAGCGCAAGACAAGCTTTTGTGGTTAAAAAGTATTTTCAAAGAAAATGACAGATTGTTTCGCAAGGTGATACCCTTATTTCGTTAAAGATGCATTAAAACTGTCATTTGAAAGCCACATAAAAGTCCACTATATGAATTAAAAAAAACTTTCATTTCTTTTTAACTGAAGAAAACAAAGAAATGAACATCTTGACTGACTCAATACACATTATTTTAGTCTGGAAGTGAACTAATCCTTTAAAAAGTATAACATACAGTTTTACAAGAATCAACAAGACTAAGGCTGTTTTTGTACTTTTTAAAATTAATTAACTGCAAAAATGTTCAAATGAAAGTGATATGAATTTCTTGCAAGGGCTGTAATTAGACAAACAAAATAAAGGAGAGCTGCTGAGAGAAGAGTGGGCAGACTGTTTACCTTTAATATAAAGGAAACTGTGGAAGTATGGGAGAGTAACACAGCTGTAGACTGAGTCCCTCCGGTAAGACGATTCATCATCAGTGTCAAACCTGTCAAAGTCATCTTCACTGTCCTCAAACTGAGAGAGAGAGAAACACAGTTATAGAACATTATCAATCAAAGTTAAAAACTCACTCTTTTAAAAATGAGAGATGTCATTTACAACAGGGGATAGTTCACCCAAAACTGAAAATTCTGTCATTATTTGATCACTGTTAACTTCTGGCAAACCTGTTTGAGTTGCATTCTTCTGTTAAACCCAAATGAAGATAATTTGAAGAACTTTGGAGAACTAGCTATTGGCTACCATACTATTTTTCTTCCTACTACAGATACTGTATATAGTCACGAGCTACTGATTTCCACATTCTTCCAAATATCTTCTTTTGTGTTCATATAAGAATCTCTTAAGGGCAAGTAAATGATAAGTACATTTTATTTTTGGAATAAACTCTTTTTTTAATGGCTATCTGCTGTAAATCACGGTCATCATTGCTCACTATTTTTCAGAAAAAACCCATTAATACACTTATTTTTAGCGTAGATTTATGAAAACACATCTTTGCTTCATCATTTTAATGCCCCATTCATACTACGAGCGACAACAATCAGCAACAAGCGACTATTGATTACAATGGAGAGTGAGCAACTTTCAGCGACCTCTGGTACATGGGCGACAGTGGCTACTGCCGACCAGATGTGAGCATCTCAAGCAATGTGACAAAGTGGAGAATCAATCTACTTTATGCAAATGAACAGAGACTTTTGCAAGCAACAGGCAATAAGAGCATCAGTAGAGCTCACATGATCCTCTCTTAGCTCCTTTTGAAGCCTGCTATATTTTCTGTGCTGTAGACCTACACAGATCCGCGTTTGCAGGAGATAACCGAAATGATGGAAAACACACTTTTTTTTTCTTGTTCATCTCTGTAATTAAGCATTTTGTACTCGTTCCACTTATATTTTGTGCTTTCTCCAAACAAGGTTTATTTTCAGTGGCACGTAAACTTATTTTGCTCTTAGTGAATATCATCATAAACGTTACCTAAGCAACCTCAAGGTAGGAATGACCACTCGCAATTTCAATTGCCCCTCATGGCAACAAGCAGCTACAAAGTCACTGCAAGTGTGAAGGGAGCGTAGTGCAGTTCTCATTAACTATTCAGAACGTGTGTATGTAAAGCTCACCGAGGACTGTGGGCCATCTGAGCTGAATCGATACGCGCCTGAACTCACACTGGCACTTGTTGCCAACGAGCTGCGGTTCTCGCGTGACCAGATGTCATTATGAGGCGGGAGACTGGGCGGCCGCATGATCAGACCTCCTTCATCATAATCGTCCGCATCATAATCCGAGTCCTCATCGGGAGGGATAAGCTCCGTCTCCTCCTCCAGAACAGCATGAGAATAGGTGGAGCCACTGCTGGAGGGCGGAGCACGATAAACTGAGGGCATAATAAGGGGCAGGACTGGGGGCAGGGCCACGCGGTCATTAGCATAAGGATCCTCTTCTGATGAATCGTCGCTGGTTCTTATACCGCTGGTTCGCTGTCCATCAGAGTGACCATGTTCACTGGGGTTTGGAGAATCTTTAAACCCATCTTCGTCCACTCCCAGACCTTCATCCACTTCATCTTCTTCCCCTCTAGGGGAGCCCTGCTGTGATCCTCCAGATCCCCCGAGCGAGCTCTCGATGTTGCGAACGCACTCGTCGATTTCGTCGAAGTTGAGCGAGGTGAGGAACTGCTGCGCTGCTTTACAGGCCTCTTCCTCCAGCCTGCGCAGCTCCTGATCGCGCAGCCGTTGCAGACGATGCAGCGACTGTGTGGTCAGACTCTGCTCCTGGGCCTCTTTCTGGCGTCGCAGACCTTCAATCTCACGCTCCAGACGCAGGATTTCCTCCACCTGCGATGCTTGGTTTGTTTCTGCTTCGAACACTTCGTCAGACACCTGTTCTGCTAGCGATGTTTCTTCAATGGGGCTCTCGTGCGGGATGCTTTTTTGTGGACTATCCTCTGCTGTAATACTGTCTGGTGTGATGGTTTCAGGGAAGACAACTTGAGTCTGTTTGCTTTTTAGTTTTTCTTCTAATCTTCGAGCTTCTTCGGCCTGTGTAGACAACAGACTGTGTTAACAGACAGGCAGACACACAGATAGACAGACAGACAGAGATAGATAGATAGATAGATAGATAGATAGATAGATAGATAGATAGATAGATAGATAGATAGATAGATAGATAGATAGATAGATAGATAGATAGATAGATAGATAGATAGATAGATAGATAGATAGATAGATAGATAGATAGATAGATAGATAGATAGATAGATAGATAGATAGATAGATAGGCAGACAGACAGACAGGCAAACAGACAACAGATAGACAGAAGATAGATGAAGACAGACAATAAATATATATATCATTCACTTACTGCTTGTGCTAAAAGCTCCAACTCCAACAAGCGATGTCTCTCTCTAACAATTAAAGCAGCAACATCAAGAAGATCAGAAACTTAGAAAGCATTATTATACAACAATCTAACTTTATTAATAAAGGCAACTTTCACACAAACTGCCCACCTCTCCAGTGCCTCCTGTTCTTCTCTGTGTCTCCTTTCTTCCTCTTCCCTCTTCCTCTTCTCCTCTAAAAGGTGAACATAGAGCCTTCGTGCCCTTTGACCTCTGAGCCTCTTCTGTAAGGTGACGGTGGCCCATCGCATTGTCTGAAAGCGTCGGCGCCAATATAGAGCACGGTAATTTTTCTGAATGACAACAATGCACAGCAACAGGCGTCTGTACTGCCTCCTGTGACCAGCAGAGAGCAAAAACACAGTGACTACATTAGAGTTTAGTACTTTAGTGTTTGTTTGTGTATATGCACGTGCCAGTGTGTTTACCGTGCTCTGTAGCCCAGTATATGAGCTTGGATAATTGATGCTGCTTTGAGAACTTCTGTTTCTCTTTGTTTTTCTAACCGCAGCTCCAAACTCTCTCTCATAAACACCTGCAAAATGAAAAGACAACAAATGCAGCCCATCATTCAAGCCTGATTACTGTTCTAGAAGTATATAAAAAAACTGGTGGCGAAGTACACAAATCAGGGACTGGAGTTAAGGTCCTTATGAATATTACTGTAGTAAAAGCCTCCATTTACAGCATTACTTAAAAATATTACTAAGAAAAAAATTACAAAAGCATTTTTTATGTACTTAAGTGTTAAACTTATTGATGTCTGTTGAATTTCCATGAAAATTGTGTTATCAAAAGATGTTGTACTCATAATTCATAATACTCAATCATGAGTGCGCGAGCAAATAAAACTTACACAGTGGGCTCTATTTTAATGATCTAAGCGCAGGGTCTAAAGCGCATGGTGCAAAAGCATTAGGGTGTGTCCGAATCCACTTTTGCTATTTTAAGGACAGAAAAAATGTGCTCTGCGCCCTGGCAGTGGTCTAACAGAGCTGTGTTTATTCTCTTAATGAGTTATGGGTGTGTTTTGAGCATAACGTGCATTAAAACAATCAGTCACATCTCCCATTCCCTTTAAGAGTCAGTTGCGCTGTGTCATGTTGCGTTTGCTATTACCATGGTGAACTTTGAAAGTGGAAAAACTGAACACTTCACTAATACATAAACAAGCAATATTAAAAACACATAATGTGTGTTAAAAAATGTACATTTTATGTAATCATAATAGATTATGTGCAACATCAGCGAAAATGCAAGATCAATAATTTAAATTACTGTAAAATTATGTTTAAAAAAAACAAAGATATATGTATATAAAAAAACTACAAAAAATCTATAATTGCGGTCTGGATTCATTGTTCCTTATTCAATTCAATTAATCTTTGTTTCTATAGCGCTTTTACATTGTAGATTGTGTCAAAGCAGCTTAACATAGAAGTTCTAGTAAACTGAAAATGTGTCAGTCCAGTTTTCAGAGTTCAGTTTAGTTCTTTAGTCTTAATCCAATACAACTTCATGCATAATAATTAGAAGAAGAAAAAAATAGCGAACAGCTGATTAAATTGTGTTGTAAAAAAGTTTTACAGTGAAGATCTAAAGAGCGTGATTGTTGCTTACTTTGTTTTTTCCCAGCTGCCATTCAGCACCGCTGTTGTCATAGAGCTGCAGCAGCAAGAGACTCCGCCCCTTAAGGTCCTCTGACAAAGCCAAAGCCCTCATCAACACATAGTACCTGACAAAAACACAACACAAAAGAGTGATTCAACTCATGCTGTTGCCAATAACACTTATTTTTTCCTTAAAACATTTTTTTAACTAAAAACTGCATTTATTCTAGCCAAAATAAAACAAATAAGACTTTCTCCAGAAGAAAAAATATTATAGGAAATACTGTGAAAAATTCTTTCCTCTGTTAAACATAATTTGGGAAATTTTTAAAAAAGAAAAAAAAATTCACAATTTTATGACTTCACCTGTATATTATAGCACTTACAACTTAATTATTGCTACATCAAGCTTTGCTTTTAAATATCCTGAACTGATAAACTGTAATAAATACTGTAGTGTGCTTTAGTTTTTACTTCAGTAAACTGAGAGCACACTGTCTTAGGCGTACAAACCTGGAACAGAAATCCTTAAACGTCCTCCTGATGGGAAACCCAGAACGTCTGATTTTCACTGTTTCCAACATCCCAGAATATCTGAGCTGATTGAGGACCACAGTCTGCTCAAACTGACCGGGCATCTGTGAAAAACAGAGACGGGGACATTTAAAAAAATAAAGAATGAAAAGTCAGATCTAAATTAGCCGCATTAATTCTGCTTTCAAATATAGCCGAGTAGAGTTTTGAGTGGACTCATTCTTCAAACACATTAAGTGGGTCATTATCACCCCCTCTCCCGATGACCTCTGACCCTGTGTGGGGGTGAGGTCGGAAACGGGGCGCTGTGATCCCCGCTTCTAAATGTCATCTCTTTGGAAGCAGGACTGAACCAGAGAAATTGGCGAATGAAAGTGAGATGAAGAGATGAGTGCTGAATGAGCTCTGTGAGAGCAAGGTCAGCACACATACACACACAACACACACACACAATCATTCATTCTAGTCAGTGGTACATTAACATACTGATACATGCAGCGAGAGTAACAGAAAGCAGACAGGATCAATGTCATTGAGCTTGATGGGGGAGGTGGATGTCTCTCTTTAATCGTATGCCAGCAAAACAAACACTAGCAACATGTTCAAGCGATGTTTTAAAAATGTCATTCCTAAGATGTTTGTTTTTACTTATTTTCTGTGAAACACTAATATTACAATAAAATGTGTCTCTGGGTTTTTTTCTTGAACACAATATACAGTTGAAGTCAAAATTATTAGCCATGTTAATTCTTTCCCCAATTTCTGTTTAACAGAGAAAATATTTTTTTCAACACATTTCTAAACATAATAGTTTTAATAACTCATTTCTAAAAACTGATTTATTTTATCTTTGCCTTGATGACAGTAAATAATATTTGACTAGACACTTCTATACAGCTTAAAGTGACATTTAAAGGCTTAACTAAGTTAATTAGGTTAACTATGCAGGTTATGGTATTTAGGCAAGTTATTGTAAACGATAGTTTGTTCTTTAGACTATTGAAAAATGAAATAGCTTAAAGGGGCTGATAATTTTGACCTTGAAATATTTTTTTTTAAAAATTAAAAGCTGCTTTTATTCTAGCCGAAATAAAACAAATAAGACTTTCTCCAGAAGAAAAAATATAATCAGACATACTGTGAAAATGTCCTTGCTCTGTTAAATATAATTTGGGAAATATTTGAAAAAGAAAAAAAAAAAAAATCAAAGGGGGGATAATAATTCTGACTTCAGTTTTTTGTTTTAGACCCCACTGACATTCATTGTATGGGAAACTAAAAAACATATCTTCAAAATATCTTCTTTTACATTCTGTTTGGAATGTCAAGAGGGTGAGTAGATGATTTTAAAAATGTGATTTTAACTATTCTTTGAAATAATTACAATTTTGCAAACACTCTTCATTTATATTAACATACAGTTGAAGGAAAAATTTATATTAAGTAATCTGAACACAGTTAAAGATTAGAAAAAGGAATAAAATTTTACAGAATGGCTAATATTTTTCCTTTTGACTGATTATCTTTTTTGTAAATACAATAAAATGTTGGAGCCCATTGACTACTATTGTATACAGAAAACATTCTTCAAAATATCTCATTTTATGTTCATTTGGAATGTCAAGAGGCAAGAGTAGATGATTCCAGAAATCAGATTGTTCTTTGAACAATTTTTAAAAAATAAATTACAATTTGGCAAACACTTTTCATTAATATTAACAAAGCAAAACAATTATTATTAAGATATCAATTCTCCTACAAAGTTTTCCCAAAAAGTTTTCTTAACATATGTTACACATATTAATAACTAATTTCTTTTTTTATTATGAATATGATGACAGTACATAATATCTTAACAGTTATTTTGTAAAATACTAGTATTCTGCTAAAAGGGCCATTTAAAGGCTTAACTTAGTTTAATTAGGTTAAGTAAATAAGTCTGGTTAATTAGGCAAGATATTAGATAAATGCCAATCGAGAAAAAAAGGGCTAATCCTTTTTACCTGAAAAAATATCTATTAAAAAAAATGGAAAACTGCTTTTAATTCAGTCAAACTATATAAAACATGACTTTCTCTAGAATAAAAAATATAATCAGAAATACTGTGAAACATTCTTGCGCTGTTAAAAAGCACAGGAAAATATTTAACGAAAGATTTGAATTTCATTGGAGGGCTAATAAAGTTTTCCTTTAACTGTATATTCTTTAACTGTATATTATTGGACCATTGTATACAGAAAACATTATTCTTTTATGTGTCGTTTGGAATATCAAGAGGATGAGTAGATGATTCTAGAAATCAGATTTTTCTTTGAACTATTCTTTAAAATTATTACAATTTGTCAAACACTCCTACTTTTTTTTTTATTTACCTCCAGCTGAAGGCAGAATTATTATTATGTTAATTATTTTTCAAAAAGTTTTTCCAACATATATTTACACATATTAGTTTTTATAATAAATTTCTTTGTTTTTGTCATGATGACAGTGCATAATATTTTCCTAGTTATTTTGCAAGATACTAGTATTTGGCTTAAAGTGCCATTTAAAGGGTTAACTTTAATTTTAATTAATTTAATATAGACAAGTTAAGTTAACTAGGCAAGGCATTAGATAAAAGCTGATAAAGAAAAGAAATCTTAAAAGGGCTAATAATAATAATAAAAAAAAAATGTAAAAACTGCTTTTATTCCAGCCAAACTATAAGAAATATGACTTTCCCTAGATTAAAAAAATAAAATAGGTAATGCTGTGAAAAATTCCTGTATATAATTTTTTTTGGTAAACACAATTAAAGCGTTGGACCCTATTGACTACAATTATATATGGGAAAACATTCTTCAAAATATCTCCTTTTATGACACAAAGATAAATATTAAATTGTCATTTACTTTAAATGTATATAATTTTTTGTAAACACAATAAAAGTGTTGAACCCCATTGTCTACCATTGAATTCAATTCTCTTCAATTCATCTTTATTTCTATAGCGCTTTTACAGTGTAGATTGTGTCAAAGCAGCTTCACATAGAAGTTCTAGTAAATTGAAACGGTATCAGTCCAGCTTTAAGTGTTGAAACCATTATATACAGAAAACATTCTTTAAAATATCTCCTTTTATGCTCTACATAAGAAAAAATAACGAAGACTTGAAATGACATAAAGATAAATACTGAATTTGTGATGTGATCATTATCTTATATTAACAAAATCCGAATTTTGTTAAAAGTTTTCTTCGATCTATTCTCAAATAAGCAAAACTCTAAGCATCCTCTTTATTTTCCAACAGGTAAATGTTCTCTGGCGACGCAGAAATACTAAAAACACCATGCTAAAACAGTAGTCAGGCATCTGGAGCAGCTCTTAACATCTGTCTAAACATCATTTCATCAGTCCTGCACCTCTACATCAACAAAGCAGCAGTCTGAGAGTTTACTTTAAAAACACATGAGGTCTTACTGTAGAGAAAAGTGTCCGTTCTCATGGTGTGTCCGTCAGCAGCTCTAAGTGAGTGAGTGTATGTCCACAACGAGCCAGTGATCAACTGGCCAGTTCACACACATACACACACTCTCTCACACTTTCTCCCTTATGCGCGCACACACACATACATCCATTCACACACTGCTGGTTACCATGGAGACCAGAGCCATGCTGGGCCAATTTGTGTTCAGAGGGGGAGGGGGGTGTCGGAGGGCAATGCATTGTGGGTAAAAAAGGGGGCAGAAGTCACCCCAGCTGTTTACATTCAAATAAAGTGGGAGACAGCGGACAGACAGACAGAGATGCAAAAGTAAATAAAACAACAGCCTGATAAACAGAAAGATGTTTTGATGATTTACATAATAGAGGGTTTTTGCAGGTTTCTTTAAATCAAATTGAAGACTTTTAAGACCCTTTTAAGATCAGTATGAATGAAATTTAAACTTATACAAAGCTAAACACTAAGGATTTTGTCTAATGGCCTGGTTACTTCTGTAATAGTTTTTTATTAATGGAAGATCACGTAAAGGGATGTGTTACTTTAGTTTTATTTCCCTGATTAGGGAATTTAATTTGGAGAATTTGCTGTAAAATGTCTAACATCTGTTGTAAATTGTATCTTTTTGCAATAAAAAAATATTTTATGAATAAATAAAAAAGTTGAATATAAACAAAGCTTTGGGATTATAGGTGATTGGATTTCAGCTAGAATGAGGATATTTGGACATAAGAAAATTAAGACATGTTTAAAATGATTTCAGACCCACATCAGAATATTTCAGTAAATTTAAGACTTTTTTTTAATTTAAGACATTTAGGACCCCATGGACAACCTGATAATTGTAAATGAGTTCATTAAATTGACAAAGTATAATTTTTTCAATAATTATAATAATCTACTTAAAACATAAAACACTAAAATAAAATATATTTTTGTTATTTATAATAAACATTAACAGAAACACACTTATTTGATCATCTCACTATAGTTGCCAAAGACACTTTAAAAGGTCACGAAAAACCAAAACACATTTTTTGAGATGTTGACAGTCATATACAGTTATTAGCCACCTTGATTTATTAGCTTCCCTGTCCCCCCCCCCCCCCACCCCCCAACAACACATTTCAAAACATAAGAATTTTAATATCTCTTTTCTAATAACTGATTTATTTTATATTTGCCATGATGACAGTAAATAATATTTTAGATATTTTTCAAGACACTTCTATACAGCTTAAAGTGACATGTAAAGGTTTAACTAGGTTAATTAGATTAACTAGGCAGGTTAGGGTAATTAGGCAAGTTATTGTATAATGACCTTAAAATGGCTTTTTAAAAATTAAAAACTGCTTTTATTCTAGCAGAAATAAAACAAATAAGACTATCTCCAGAAAATTTCCTGTGAAATTTTTCCCGTGAAATTTTCGTTACTGTGAAAATTTCCTTGCTCTGTTAATCATCATTTGGGAAATATTTAAAAAAGAAGAAAAAACTCAAAGGCGGGCTAATAATTTTGACTTCAACTGTGTATGTGCCACGTTCCTAAAAACACTATTAGGACACATATATTTAGCTAACAAGTGAAAAAATTACCCGTTTAAAAATGTCACGGCGATGAGATCATTGTGTAAATTCCAGCGTGGAGATTGGCTGTCTGTACTGGCTGGTACAAAATGTCGTAATTAAGTTTTCAGCACATCTGTGCATTAATTCATAAGGAAGACTTGGTTCGAACTAATCAGTGCACTCTATTGTGAACAAGATGCAGCTTCATTAAAATGCATGATACAGTATAGCTTCGAAAACTCTTTTTACCTGTTACAGTGTTCAGAGAGACATTGCCAACCGTAATTCAAACAAGTAGAAAAAAAATTGGTTGGAGACATGGGTCGTCAGTGTTGCGTTTACAAATGTGCCTCAACGAAGGATTTGTTTCCATTTCCCCATGATGAGAGCACAGCTCGCGTGTGGATTTTTTTTTTCCAAAGAGCTTTTCCAATCTTGAAATGGTGAAATCCAGATGAAATGTTGATTGTCTTGTCTCTACGGATTTGTCTGATCAATGTTCTCTGTTTATGTTTATTCAGATGGCTAAGTTAGTTAGTATCATCAGCAGGACTCTTTCAGTTTTTAAAGACATACCTCAAAATGATTTCGTTACTAAGTTTACAGCAATATCACTACAATATTATGGACTGAAAATCCTCCACTTCCACACAGCTCTCATATCCGCTGTAAACACTGCTCTCCAAATCTCTGTTTATCTCCCCTGCGTTTGTGTTTGTATTGATGCTGTGAAAATCAGTGTGTATACGTAATAAAACTCCCCTTTTTATGCAAATCCTTCCCTTTTTCTTCACTTGACACTCCCACCTAAATAAAGCTGGGCTCAGCCACTTTCCTGACTTTTTTCAAACTAGAGGAGGTTGAAAACAACCTGCTGAGACAGGGGGGTTTCATGAACCTTTAAAGATAAAATAAAAACTAAAATATGCATCAGTGGATATATAAAACAAATACATAATAAAATTAAAAACAAAATCACTAAAACTTTCACTAAAATTTAAAAGAAAACAAAATCTATTAATAAAACAACATTACGCATTACATCTAAAAACAACCTTATACACTAAAATAATATTTGATAATTTTTTCTTCCATTTTCAAGAATTCACACATAAGTTATTGCAAATTAGTTAATTAATTTAGTAAATTATTTATTAAATGTGATAAAAAATGATAAAATCAATAGTCTATATTATTATTTATTATTATTTAATTTCTCTTCTGCATTTAAAAAAACACATAAACTTTACACTCTGTGCAGCTCTGAAATTGCATTTTGATTTACTTCAACAGATTTGCTAATGCGCTGAAATCTAAAAGCAAAAGCACAATGTCACAGAATTGATGTGTGCCATTGACACCTCTGCACTGACCTCTAACAACTGAACAAAGAGGTACAGATGAACACAAAACACACGCGCGGCCTGACATCTGCTGTAGAGTTAATAGGCAGTCGAATCAATGGCCTCGAGTGTAGAGCAGAATGAATGGAAAGCGTGAAGCGCATGTGTCTGCATCTCTCAGAGGAGTCTTACATCTCTGCACTGACTTCATGATGTCTAATCTCCTTCTGTCACTGAATACACAACCGTGCAAAAGAAGCACCGTTTGACAGTGTGTCTAATCGATGTGTGATTTATTATTAGGAGTCTGCACTTAAACTTGACGGTGTCAAAATAAACAAATCTACTTTGAACTGAAAATCAAATTCCAAAGCTAAATCTAATACAAAGACAAAGTTACACAACTTTACACAAAGCAGCGGATGTCTACTGTGTTTGCAGGACATACCTTGCTAATGTTGGGTTTAATGCAGCGTACAAAGAACGGATTGGAGGTACTAAGGGTGGACATCAGAGAGTGCAATGAATTCTGGGAAAGACAAAAAATACATACAGTAATCAGTTACAAACAGGTAGAAATATTTAACGCTCAATGCACCTAATATTCTAATCGCAGAAACAAACACCGTTGAAGTAACTGAAGTTACTGAAACTCTTCCATAGAACTAAAATTGTAAAAATGATTATTAAAAAAAAAAGTAAAAGTAAAAAAGTCTCTTTACATTTACAACAACTGCATAAAAAGTACATACTTTCTTACTAAACCATACAAAGAAATGGCTCTTATTATTCCTGTTTATTATTTGTATTAACTAACAACACAAAATAGGCTTCTATACCTTTTTTAATGAATTGAACATAGTAAAAAATCAGCTTTTATAATCACATTAGAAATTGTGGGTTGAAATGTAGAAATTACAAAAACATAAATAAAAACAGGTGAGGCAGTGCCGCAGTAGGTAGTGCTGTCGCCTCACAGCAAGAAGGTCGCTGGTTCAAACCTCGGCTCAGTTGGTGTTTCTGTGAGGAGTTTGCATGTTCTCCCTGACTTCGCATGGGTTTCCTCCGGGTGCTCCAGTTTCCCCCACAGTCCAAAGACATGCGGTACAGGTGAATTAGGTTGGCTAAATTGTCTGTAGTGTATGAGTGTGTGTGTGAATCTGGTGTGAATGTTTCCAGATGGGTTGCGGCTGGAAGGGCATCCGCTGCGTAAAAACTTGCTGAATAAGTTGGCAGTTCATTCCGCTGTGGCGACCTCGGGTTAATAATGGGACTAAGCCGACAAGAAAATGAATGAATGAATAAATAAAAACATTTTCGCGTTTTGTAAAGCCCTGGATATACTATAAACAGTATCGAAAAAGGAACTGAAATGACGCAATCTGTAAAAAAAATCTGTAAAAAACAAAGAAGTTTGTTTTATTGTTTGTTTATCAATCGTGATGACCACGCAATCGGTGGGTGTGTCCTGGAATTCCCCCTTCATTGTTGTGCTTCATATTTATGCAGTTCAGAGTCAGGCCCTGTTTACACTAATGTGTTTTCGTTTTAAAACGCATAAGTTTACGGTTACGCCATCCGTCCACACTAAGCCGGAGTTTTCGAGCGCCAAAAACGGAGCATTTCGAAAATGCTGGAGAGGCCGTTTTCATTCAGAAACGCAGCTGCTCCGTCTCAGTGTAGATGGGGGAAAATGGAGACATCTATAAATGGGGGCGGGGCTGTAGACATTCGCCTCTCTGATTGGGGCTTTTCCTCAGTATTAAGTAGCCTACACACACAGTTCAGTCTCGTATCCTCTCCCTTTAAGTTCAGACTTCGCAAGTTTGATATGGAAAACAGACCCTCGAGGACATGTCCGGTAAATCTTCAAAGGGAACAGTGTACTTTATAACCTTATTCACATCATCCTGGCAACGTTGTTTCACTTTCTCAACAATAAAATGAAAACATGATTTAAAGAACTGCCTATTTTTATTTTGATATTAGCAACTTAACAGACAGCAAAAATGCTGAGGCGTCATGCTGCATCTTCACTGTATGCATATTTATAATAAAACGGAGCCTATAAAACATCACTGATCCTTTCATTTTCATTGAAAATACGAAACGTATCCTCTGCTTTGCTGAATGTCAGTTTTAATAAACAGTAATAGCCATTATAAAAGTATAACGCACAATAAGTTTATATATTATAGGAAATCACAAGCGATCAGTCAATATACAGAATGTACGTAGTTAAATTAATTATTAACTTATCTTTGCGCTCAGCCAAAACACGTTACCTGTGAACCAATAATCGATTCAAAAGACCAAAGTCTGGGAATATGTCGTTAGGTATAGACAACAAGATTAATTAAATATCACGTTTAGCAAATATAGTGAGATTAGATACAGCAGGAAATACTTGATGTGCAGTCCGACATGCACAGCTCTCATCTGGGTAGAAATGCTGCAGCGCTTGCCCGAGAGTGTGTGTGTGGTCACGTAATATGCGTTTTCAGCGTTTCGGTGTGAACGGAGAGCAGTTCGGAAACGCTGGGTAAAACGCGAGTGTGGACGCGGATCGTTTTTATTCTAAAACACCGTTTTAAAACTAACACGCGCTAGTGTAAACGGGGCCTCAGACATGAGAAACACATCCAGCACAACAACACAAAGGCCGTGTACACATGCACATGGGTATTTTTATAAAGGAGAAGAAAAAACAGCACATATTCTTATGTCATGACAGCAAAAAAGGCTGGAAAAAAGAAAAAAGGAGTTCAGCCTGTTGTACCTGGAATTTTCAGCCTGGTCACAGCTTTCAAAAAGTTTTGGTTTTTAAAAATGATTTTCAGGGGCGGATTTAATTATTTTTAAGAGTTCACACTTAGCTGATGATTGGTAATAAAGATAGTTTGGCAGGCTGTCTCAGGAGAGAGCAGTAAGCTCATAAGATCCTCAAGCCCGGGGCTCCCTCCCGTTTGCAGGGCGAGAGGGGAGTTTGAGCTCAGGTAGATCTCGAGATTTTTATATATAACATTACATTGTTATATAATAATAATATTTCCCAGAGATGGGTTGTGGCTGGAAGGGCATCCGCTGCGTAAAAACTTGCTGGATAAGTTGGCGGTTCATTCCGCTGTGGCGACCCCGGATTAATAAAGGGACTAAGCTGACAAGAAAATGAATGAAGGAATGAATGAATGTTATATAATAGCTATATATAATAGTTCATAGGTATAATTTATACTTCTAGATATTTATTGGGGACCACCAGATTTCATGGGGCCCTAAGTGGCCGCGTAACCCACTTATTGGTTAAATCTGCCACTGCTGATTATGAAAATAACCGTGTTCAGGTGGACAGGGCCTAAGTTAGTAACATCAATAAGCTGGAGAGTCGAGTAGAAGAGCTATATCTTCACATGTACTATCGCTTGCTTAAAAGATTTTAAAGAGTCCAAGACACCACACACCTGACGATCAGCACAATCATATCAAGTTCGAAACATTCAGATTTTTTTTAGTGTCTGTCTGTGGCAAATAGAAAGCAATGTGGCATGCCATGGTGGCGATTCTCACTGGAGAAGGCTGTTTGTCTTATATGAAACTGTTCTTCTGTCACAGCCGCCATTGTTGTTGTGTTTAGAATAACATTCAAGTGGTGTTACACATTTGCAATGCCCCCTACTGCTACGTGGGGCTGTGGAAAAGGTCTAAAAACAGTATACCACCACTCAGCCTTTTCTAACTTCTTTTTGGCCTCAAACGACAAAAAAGAACTTTGAAGTATACCGGGGCCTCAAGTGTGTCCCATTGGGCTAAAAAAATCTGTTCATACACAAAACACTTGGGCCAAATACAGGAAATAGGTCATGTAAGTAGACAAGCAGTCAAGTGGCTAGATGTGGGTATTTGTATGCTCCCAGTAAAGTGAAAGGTTACATGACAATGACAACAATAACATTATATAAAACAATGGTCTCAAACTCAAAATCCCTGGATGGCCACAGCTCTGCAGAGTTTAGCTCCAACCACCCTCGACTCACACCAGCTTAAAAGTTTTTAGTAGACTTGAACACATTTGAAATAGCTGCGTTTGATGAGGGTTGGAGCTGTGGCCCTGCAGGAATTGAGTTTGTAACCTGTGATATAAAACTATTCATTAGAGGCTACAAAGAAATCGCGTACATAAAAATAAGTACTTAGACAGGATTTGGGATGCAACTTTACACAAAAATTCTGCATTCTAAAGCATTGTTTCCCAACCCTGTTTCTAAAAGCACAGCAGCAGTCCACATTTTCAACCTCTTACTAATCAAACTTACCTGAATCTACACATCAGAACATTAGAAGAGACTCCAAAACCTGAAATTAATTGGTCAGATAAGGGAGACATCCAAAACATGTACTGTTGGTGTGCCTCCAGAAACAGGGTTGGGAAACGCTGTTCTAGTGCATTGCAGGAGTTTTCTTACCTTAAACTGAGAGCTAACTGTAGGTCTGCGATACTTTGATCCGCACTTGACCGTGTCCTGTCCGGTCCAGGCGTTCACTCGCTCAAACAGATCATACACAAAATCCAGCCTGAGAGAGCAGGAGCGTGTGAACAGATCATATCGTGGAGAACAGTTACATAACTATTTGCAAACACACACACACACACACACACACACACACACACACACACACACACACACACACACAAACACACACACACACACAAACACACAAACACACACAAACACACAAACACACACAAACACACAAACACACAAACACACACACACACACACACACACACACACACACACACACACCTGCTCTCCCTGAGTAAGTTGAGAACATCATCTCTGAAAGTGTCTCTGTTCTTCTCCAGGATTCCTCTGACATCATAAACGACCTGCAGACAAAAAGCAGGATGTTCACCTGAGACATGACACCTGGAACACTGATGTTGACCGCATTTTTGTTTATTATATTCAGTATAGCACAACATACGAGAACGCAACACAACGGTTTGTCATTTTAGCTGTAATTTTTCGCTGAAATGATGCCACATGGAAATAATTCAAAGGTTTAAGTAAATGCAAGAAAGTTGTTCAGAAAAAATCAGAAATTTTAAAAATGAAGTAGCACGAATTTAATAATAAAAAATATTACATTTTTTTACGGTTTACGGTGATACATTAATTAGCTGGTAATTAATAATAAAAATACTTCAATTGCTAATATATAATAATACAGATTTTTGACTATTTTCAGTGTATAATGCTTCTTAAATTAAATTAAAAAGATATTTAATACAATTTAATAAATATGACTTTATCTGTACTTAATATAAAATATTCACAAGAAAGATATTTATAAGTCCTAATTTACTTAAAAAATTGTATTAAGCTTTTTTGCTCTTGTAGTTAAATATGCAAAATGTATATGAAATTTAAATCCACATATAAAACTGTACTTATGAAACATCACATGTCTTATTTGCTATGATAACTATTTGTCATTTAGTTAAATAAAGGATGCATAAGATGTAACTTGAAATTGTTGTTAAAAGATGTTTAGAGATGCACATTTACTAACACATATAAAATAGCATACAGTTGCACTCAAGAGTTATTGAACCCACTTAGATTTTTTTTTCTTTTTTAAATATTTCACAAATTATGTTTAACAGAGCAAGGACATTTTCACATTATGTCTGATAATATTTTTTCTTCTGGAGAAAGTCTCCATTTGTTTTATTTCGGCTTGAATAAAACTAATAAAATAATAAAACAATTTTATGAAACATTTTAAGGTCAAAATTATTAGCCATTTTAAGCTGTATTTTATTTCGATAGTCTACAGAACAAACCATCGTCATACAATAACTTGCCTAATTGCCCCTACCTGCCTAGTTAACCTAATTAACCTATTTAAGCATTTAAATGTCACTTTAAGCTGTATAGAAGTGTCTTGAAAAATATCTAGTCAAATATTATTTACTGTCATCATGGCAAATATAAAATAAATAAGTTATTAGAAATGAGTTGTTAAATCTATTATGTTTAGAAATGTGCTGAAAAAAATCTTCAGTCCATTAAACAGAAACTGTGGGGGGGGGGGACAATTCTGATTGCAACTGTATATGTACCTTGCTATTAGTATATGTAAAATACAATGGAATGTCTTACATTGCAAAATGCTGCTACAATAAAGAAATGAATAAATAAATAACACCAGTAGGCAGGCGTTGTACCTCTCCAGCGTAGTGCTTGATTCCAAACTGATGAACTGCAACTCGAGGTTTGATGTAGAACTGATTTCTCTGATGAAACGAAGAGAGAAACAGATCAGTGACTGTAGTTTCCATGCTCAAGGTCATTATTTATGCCCAAAATACATATCAGTGATAGGCTTTTTATTCTTAAACATTTGTTGGGCTTAATTATAAGTTGTTGTTTTATTTATCATCTCAAACTAATGATAAAATGTAAATTGGACATTTGGAATGGTGACAACTGAGAGTAAAACATGAACTTTTTACATCACAATTCTCAAAAACTAATATTAAATATAAATGTTATTAAGAACGAACAACACTGTTTTCTGTTTATTTGCATTGCATTTTATTCATTCTTCTGTTTTGAACCCTGCTAAACGTAAAACATTCACACAAACTACAAATCTGCCATGTTATGGACTACAGATCCCAGTCATGCAATACACACACAACCGGTTCCTGATCCTGACTGATTGCAAACACACAGCTGATGCTGCTCAAGTACTGATTACACACACATATATACAGCTCACTTTGAGACACTCATGGCTGAGTCTTGTCTACTGTTTTAGTGACACCACAACGCGTTTTCCTTTGTCTTGTTTTTCCGTGTTTTTGATCCTCGCCTTGTTTATTTGTTTAATCCTGTTTGCTGCCTGCCTTGTGATCATCTGCCTGTTTTTTTGACTACGACTCTGGATAACTGCTTGCCTAACCATACTAATAAACCTTCATTTGGACCTTCAGCCCTGTTGTCAGTGTCACATCCCTCGTTACAATGCATACATTAAAAGTATAGTTCACCCAATATTTTGTTTACTCATCCTCCATTTGTTCAAAACCTGTTTGAGTTTCTATCTTCTCTTGAATACGGAAGATTTGCTGAAAAATACTAGGGGAAAACTATGGATGTCAATAGCTGATTTTTTCCAATATTCTTTGGAATATCTTATTTTGTGTTCAACAGAATAAAATGATTAAATAAACATTTACAATCACTTCAGTGTGAGTAAATGATGAGGGAATTTTCAATCCTATTTTTTCCAAATACAATTATAAGGCATTATACATTTGCTGTGTAGTGAGGTGAACCTAAATGCATATTCATAATGCTTTTTATTATTATTTAGAGCCACCAGTAGTCTATTATTCATTATTTCTGAATAAAATGATAAAATATGACTGATGCACGATGTATGTGACGTACAGAATGTTGGCTGTGGAGTTTCTCTAGAAGTGTGCCATCAGTGCCTTTAGGAAAATGACTTTCCTCATTCACAAGAGCGAGCAAACCCAACTTCTGCAGAGAAAACACACACATACACACAGATTCAGACGATCACAATGTCAGCATACAACCATTCTTGAGTGTGTTTGAGTTTGTTTTTACCTTCTCTATCAGATCCAGGCATTCTCCATTGTCCATCCAGTTAACATCATCCCAGACCAGCCCTTCTCTATACGCAAAACACACGCAGAAAACAATTACAACAGCACAGAATTAGACACAATTACAATATTAGAGAAATACTCAGTGTGTTTATATTTGTGATGGTTTACTTGTTGTACTCAAGCTGCTCCAGTGAGAAAATGTGCTTGTTGAAATACTCCTGAAGCTTCTCGTTTGCATAGTTAATGTTGAACTGCTCAAAGCGGTTGACCTGAGAGGGAAATCCAGCAGAACGAGTGGGTTACTGGGTTTCTACAGGTTTCACCAAGACTTAAGACTTTTTAAAGACCTCTGTAAATAAAATTTCAGACTTTTTTTAGTAATGGCCAGTGTAATTTTTTTTACTTGCCCCATTGGAATTTTAATTCAGTTATTTATAGGCCACATATTTTAAATAATGTATTGAAACAAGAAAACTAATTATACACAAACACACACACACACACACACACACACACACACACACACACACACACACACATACACACATATACACACATATATATATATATATATATATATATATATATATATATATATATATATATATATATATATATATATATATATATATATATATGTATATATTTTATTTTTTTATTAACATAATTTTTTCTTTCAAAAAAAAGGCAAGCTTTAAAAACTATAATACACTAAATTGATTATTGGAAGATAATAAAACCATATTGGTAAATAGGATTAATAACTTCTACTTTTGCCAAATGTATTAAGATGTATTAGATGGATTGTTGGTTGTATTGGGGAGCTTTATATGGATAAAAGAAAATGAAGACCTGTTTATAAATATTTAAGACCTACAACTTCATATTTCAGTGAATTTAAGTTTTTTTAAGGTCTAAAATTTAGATTTGAAAATTGTTTTAATTGTTTGGGACTAACATTACCACTTGATTCAAACCGGTGTCTGTAAATCTTACCAGTTTAAATTTTTTCAATTTATTTATTTCATAACAAGGGACAGTGTACATTATTTAACGTTCATCAAGAACATAAATTTACGCAAATTAGCCCAAAGACTAGTTTTCATTGATAGTCTCTTTGTCAGATGTTAAAGACCTACACCAATCAAAATACAAATTCAAACTATAAACAAAACTCAAAAAAAAAAACAACCACAAAAACAATAGTAAAAAGCCTAGTTAACTCCCACCTCAAAGTTCTCAAAGCCAAAGATGTCCAGGATGCCGATGGATCTGAAGTCTTCACTGCCGTTGATTCGGTTGTTCAGTTTGCGAATGATCCAAGTGAAGCACTGAGAGTACAAAGCCATCGCCATTGAGTCTCGCGAGTCCACCGCCTGACACACAAACAAAAACACACACACACATCTTTAATGTATGATTTATTAAAGATGAACGAATGTATCATGCAATAATATTTGGTTTTTGCAAATAAAATACATTTTCTGCACTTTGGTATACCTATAGTAAATTATATGTTGTCAAATAAAAAATAAAGGTAAAGAAAAGCATCTAACATCAGTGTTAATATGAAATTATAACATTAAAAAGGTTAATTTAATTTTCAGAAGTTAGAGAATAGAGATAAGCAAGTAAATTGGACAGAATAAAGTTTTGGGGGATATCTTTCAAAATTGTGAAATTTATTATTAGTTAAAATTTTTTTTAAGTCAGAGCCAACAAACTTTTATCAGTTATTATTATAACCACGTGACTGAACAAATTTAAAATATCTGTATTAATTAAATATACCTGAATAAGGTGTAAAATAAAAAAAATAAAAAAAGTTCAATTCCAAAAAATAACATTTAATTTGCTCTAAAGTACATTTAAATTATTTTTTCAGTATTATTAAAAAAAATCATGATTTCGAAAAAAGTAATACAATTCATTCACTTAATAGACTTCATTAAACATCTTCACATTTACATCACCTATATACTATATAACTGCAGGTTAACTATGCTTATATAGTAGCTTTAACTGTTAAGTTAGACTACTAATTATGAGTTAGTAGTTAACTAGTTAAAGTAATTAGCAACTAATAAAGTTGAACTACATAACTCAAAGTTTTGATTTTGATTGTAATACAAAAATGTAAAGCCTTCAATAAAGCTGCTTTAAAACAATAATTATTGTGAATAGCGCTTTACAAATAAACTTGAATTGAAATAACAACACTGTAAACATTTTAATATTGAAGTTTAAGAAAGTCTTGCGATGTGTTTTTTTGAGAGTCCAGTATCCATACATAGTCATAAAACGTTCCAGTAAAGTGAGAAAAATGTTTATTGAAGAAATGTAATTACTTGTTAAGTCCACTAGAGGGAGTGAGAGTTTCTGAACTCATTTGCAGTAACTTTCAAATGTAACAAATATAATAAAATGTTGTACTATTTCTTACCATACAAGTTTTTATATATTTTCTGTTATAGGATGGACTTGATTTCTGCTTTACTTTTGTAATGTTTCTAACGCCTAAGAGTAATGCCCTGCTATTGAACTGAGATATTTTGTAAATGTGTAAATATATCTGAAAGAAATAGTGGATTGGTGTTTCATAATGACTTTCATAAATTTTTTTTCTCCATACCATGAATGTGTGTGTGTTGAAAGAGTTTACCTGCTCTACTGTGAGCGGTGTGCTGATCTCTTCTCCTCTGAGGATCATTGATCTGTGGGTCAACACTTCAGCCAGCTGAGCACAATCCAAACCCAGCAGATCTGCAGCTTTACTGAGCGCTACACATACACAGAGCTCATTCGTATGAACACCATGCAATTAACATCAGTAATATTAAGCAATTCAAGACAATGTGAAAGAGAGAGAACGGAGAGAAGTATTTACCTGTTTTGGAGCAAACTTGTGCTCCGCCTGCTGTTAAAAACTCAATGTTTCCCACATGTAGGATTCCTGAAAGGAGCCTCAACACCTCTTTAATGTTCTCCTCTCCAAACTGCATTGTCCTGAGTGCATTCTTTAAACAAAAACAAATAAACACCAAAATATGGTTGTGATATATATTATGAAATATGTAAAACAAGAAAAGAACTAATAATTATTTAACACATTTGCTTTTAAACTGCAATTTCCGCATGATGATGATAATTATGATGTATGCATTTTTAATGGGAAATGTATTTTTTAAATTGCTATTATAGCTGGTCTAGCACACAGGTGTCAATTCCAGTTCCTGATGGGCCGCAGCTCTGCACAGTTAAGTTCCAACCCTGCTTCAACACACTTACTTGGAGGTTTCAAACAAGCCTGAAGAACTCAATTAGTTTGAACAGGTGTGTTTAATTACGAGGCGTTGCTCGCTGCAAAAGTTGGTACTAGCTCAACTTTGAGCGCTGATGGAAGCGTCAGCCAATCAGATCGCTATATGCAAATACACCAGCTAGACAGTGGCTGACAATTTCATTGGCTGACGCTTCTATGACGATCGTTTTTAGCCCCAACTTCAGATAAGCCTTCAGTCAAGCATTGACGCTAAAGCCCTGTGTGAATGGGGCGTTAGGGTTAAAGCTAAACTGTGCAAAGCTGCTGCCCTCCAGGAACTGGAATTGACATGTGTGGAATAGCAAAATGTTTTTGTTACTATTATTATTTTTTACTTTATTGGTGTTTAACAAGACCATACACAGTAGTATATAATACAGAATAAGAAAAAATACAGACTGTCTCAGTTTTAATTTATTTTTCCACTATTCCCTCAAAATAAAATAAAATTAATAAATGAAAAACAAACATTCTCAGAAAAAGAGAGAGAGAAAAAAATAAAGCTAGATTACAAATAAACATGTAAATAAGAGTACAAACACAGACTGTTTAAATGGATGAAAAGATCCCTCTGAGGAGTCAATATTCCCTCTTTCCAGTAGTTTACTGTGTATTAAAGCTTATATCAACAGGGTAGGCCTTTGATATAGTATGAAACAGATTAGCAATTGCTCAAAAAGGAGCGCAGGGGTAGACTTTTACAAAATGTATAAATGACGTTTGATATTGTTTACATATCTGTATTATACTATTACTCTATATGTTCAAAACCAAGAGATTACACTTTGCAGTTTGCTTGTCATGTACCGACTGTCATGTACCTATAAGGTTTGATATATTCCTCCTAGGGCAGCACGATGGCGCAGTGGGCAGCACAATCGCCTCACAGCAAGAAGGTCGTTGGTTCGAGCCCCGGCTAAGTCAGTTGGCATTTCTGTATAGAGTTTGTATGTTCTCCCCGTGTTGGCATGGATTTCCTTCAGGTGCTCTGGTTTCCCCCACAGTCCAAAGACATGTGGTATAAGTGAACTGAACATAGTGTATGTGAGTGCTTGCAGGGTGTATGTGTGTTTCCCAGTGATGGGTTGCGGCTGGAAGGGCATCCGCTGTGTAAATCTTGCAAAAAAGAGAAATGTGCGCACATCTAGAAAATCTTGAAGGCAGGTGCTCGATCAAAAAACTAAAAATCTTTAATGTGAATGTCACAACGTTACGTCCGACACGGTCTTCATTAGGTGATCCGCTGTGTAAAACATTTGCTGGATTAGTTGGCGGTTCATTCCTCTGTGGCCACCCCAGATTAATAAAGGGACTACGCCGAAAAGAAAATGAATGAATAATTGAATATTCCTCCTAACATTTATATTTTATAAAGCTGTCATTATCACATAATACATCTGTAATACTACTGTGGAAACACAAATTTTAAGTTTATAATATTATTGATAATTCCTTGAAATCAATTAGCTAATTCTAATAAGTTTTCTTTAAATATCTGGTGGTTTCATCAACGAGGAGAGTTAAAATTCATAAATAGTTTACAATATAATGGAAATATTTGCCATAATGCAAGCAAAGCATCAAGAAGTGTAGGAAAAGGGTGAATACAGTCAGTCAGTCATTTTCTTTTCGGCTTAGTCTTTTTTTTAATCTGGGGTCGCCACAGCGGAAGGAACCGGCAACTTATTCAGCATATGTTTTACATAGTGGATGCCCTTCCAGTTGCAACCCAGAACTGGGAAACATCCATACACTCTCATTCTCACTCATACACTACGGACAATTTAGCGTACCCGATTCACCTATATCCCATGTCTTTGGACAGTGGGGAAAACCGGAGCAACCGGAGGTAACCCACGGGAACAAGGGGAGAACATGCAAACTCCACACAGAAACGCTAACTGACCCAGCCGAGGCTCGAATCATCAACCTTCTTGCTGTGAGGTGATCGTGCTACCCACTGCGCCACTGTGCAGCCCCCAGGGAGAAAACATTTAATACATTAAACATACATACATATTAATTAATTCATTATTGTTGCCATTACTAAAACAATTCATAAGTATATCAACAAAATGCAAATTTACAAAACATCAAAATGTGTACTTAAACAGTAGTGAAGTGTGTGTGTTTGTGACAAGTAGGGATGCAAATTTGCATGGGTATGACATTGGTATTACAAGGAGAAGTCACTTTTTAGGACATTGCCCCATGTTCCCAGTTTTCAGAAGGCGTATAAATAATAAAATATTTACATTTCTTGAGAAAGTAAAAATGCTCAAGGTTTCCTGTACGGGGCAGGGTTCACTTAAAAATGACCTTTGCTGCTTGTTCAAACTACTTTTTTAAAATGAGTTGAAACAACACAGTTGTTCTTTTTGAGACAACTGAAATGTTAAACCCACTTAAATTTAGAAAAAACTATTAAGTTAACTTAATTGATTTGTGTTGGGACAACATGAAGAAATTGTGTGGAATCCTGCATTTTTTACACTGTTGGTGCGATACAGTTTGAACATTTTTATAAACCATAACTCTAATGCAACGTCCTGACATTTCACAAAAACAAACCTCTCTCTGTGTGTGCGTGTGTGTTGATCTACTGTACAGCAATCAGACGGTGGGTGATGTGTTGTCGTGTTATGACTGTCTCACCAGCACTTCCTGAAACGTCTCAGTGTCATTAATGGCTTTGTCCTTCACACATCCTGACTGACCCAGATAATGAAAACCCTCCGGAGCGGAGAGGGAGAAGGACTCTGTGAGAAAACGAGAGAGACAGATAAACACTGACCTTAAACAAACTGATAGTCACTGATTCATTCTGATACGGCGACCTTCTGCCTTCTCCATCTGATCTGTCATCAGTGACATCAGCAGCAGATCAAGTCTGTTTTATGTGACTTCAGTGGGAAAACCGTGAATAACAACAGTGTGTGGCTCATTATGAAGTCTGTAATCTGATTTTTGTAACCGGTGTCAAATAGACTTCTGTAAAATGCATGCAAAATGTTATGCTTTATATGACTTCTGATCACTTTGGAAGGAAGTGTGAATTAAAAACAGAAAAACGTATTTTGTTGAAATGAAAGAAACTGAGGTAAAAAGACTCAAATGGTTCAGCAAATGTCTGACTGCTTTCAGTAAAGAATATAAAATGAGGGGGAAAAAATCATCCTGTCAACGTCAGGGGGTGAAGCTACGGTAAATTATGAATTATTTTATTAATTAATTAATTAATTTATTCATTCTTTTTCCTTCGGCTTAGTGCCTGATTTGTCAGGGGTCACCACAGCTGAATGAACCACCAACTATTCCAGCATATGTTTTACCCAGCAGATGGCCTTCCAGCCGCAAGCCTGAACTAGAAAACACCCATACACACTTAGGGCTGATTTAAACTTTCGCCTGGTGCCGCGACGCGGACCTCTGCTGACTGCATGTGCACCATGGGAAACAAACGAGGCTTTTATACTTGATGTAATCGCCGTTGTGATTTTTTTTTTTTTAAATGAGAGGGGCGGTCAAAAGAAATTGACCCTAAAATCAGATGGACAAACAGAGCAAGAGGAAATTTCCAAAACTACGTCATATCATTACTATCATTAAAGATTTTTTTAAACAAATTATTTTTAGTTTATCTTAGTTTAGTTTTTGATTGATAGATATTAGTCAGAGAGCCAAAGCACCAAATACATAAAATCAAACTAATTATTTTTTTTCCTGATTATAAATATTTTTCTAACCATTCAATTTTTAAAAAAAATCAAACTTTGATGCATCACTTGATTTTGTTCATATCTCAAACATTTCTACATTTTATAGTTTATTAAAATATGAATGATAACAGAACATGGGTTACTCTAGAAATATACATGTATATTATTATGGCAAGAATAAAAGCAAAAAAAAAGTTTTTAGTTTTAGCCCACTCCACAACACACATTACTGTTTGTCTAGTTTGTGTCCTCTAATTACATGTATATGCTAAAAAGGCGATAATGGTCCAACATTCCTGACCATTGTCACTAATAAAGCCCAGACATACAGGACATCAGTATATTGTAAACCAATAGGTTTGAAAATTCCTTTCCAGTTATCAAAGAAATAATTTGTTAATTCATTTTAGTTTTGTGACTATTAAATTGTTTTAAATTCAAAATTGCAATACATGCATCAGTGTAAATCCTATAAATGGTGGAAAAACACTTTCTGTAACTGTGTGTTACAACCACCTGGGTCTCCACTTTTGTCACAGCCTCTCTTTTTGACTTTAACAAACTTATCCCTCAAGTATTCTAAACTTTTTTTTACAAAAACTTGCAATTTCTAGCCAAGAATTATTGGTCATCTGGTTATCCCGATAATCACATATGGACGGATCATAAAGACGTCTGTACAGGCGTACCAAAATCTCTTCAAAGTGATTCATATTCAACTGAAATAAAACCCGGGGCTGCGTGAATTTGTGAAGTCTCCAAAAATTTTCTGTCCTCTGCCAGCAAAAAGCATGTCATCACACCCAAAAGCGAACATTTGCAAACAACGTGGTGACATCACATTCACCGCACGCACTCGCTTTCACCGCACAATTCACTTGCAGTGCATGTCTATGGACTGTGGGGTAGACTCATGCCAGCACGGGGAGAACATGCTTACTCCACACAGAAATGCCTACTGGTCCAGCCCGGACTTGAAACAGTAACCTGCTTGCTGTGAGGCGACAGTGCTAACCACTGAGCCACCGTGCCGCTCTGATATATTTTATTTTTATTTAGTTCAGTTTGCAAGAGATTTGAATAATAATAATAACACACAAAGGAAAAAAACATGAAAGACAGGCCAAAAATGACAATTTTTTGGAGGAAACTGTGAAAAGCAAGATATGAAACAACATGCTGGGATAATTTTAGTTTTATAAAAGTTTATCTAAATTACATGATGCTTTTTACAATAGAAAAAGCACTGTCTGAAAAAGCAGATCTGATTTCATGTTGAACAAAATAGCAGCGCAAACAATAACAAAAATAATCTGAAATTCAAAAGCACATCACTAAACAATGATTGTTAAAACCACAGACTCTTCTGATTGGTTGATTTTGAGTCGTCTCTTCATCATGTAATTTCTGGTGTGAACAAAATTTTTTTGTTGCATCGCATTAAAAGGTAATCTACTGCACCCTTAGAGGAAGTAAAGCTTTTTAAATACTTTAATGGCAACTTCAGTCTCCAATAAATCAGTTAAAATGTCTTAAACAGAATATAGCGGAAAATCTAGACTCACCCTTCTGCTCTGCGCTGGTTCCTGCCAGCAGAGCATAGAATATGTGATAATTTCTTTCACCGGGATTTTGACGCACGACACGATTCTGATAGAAACGCAAACAGACAATTAGAGTCATATAAAAACACAATTCATGATACACATGCTGAAGATCCATGCATTTAAGAGAAACTCACCTTTTCTAAAAGGTCTGTGTGTTGAAAATAAAAAGTCAAGGCAAATGCAGACAGAAAATTGACATATTAGAACACGGGTTGATAAATAAAGCAACAGAGATAAACAGTAGTGGATTCACATTAACAGTAGTAAACAAATCAAGCACTTTAGTAAAAGTACAAATAAAATGACAGATTAAATTATTATTTACTCATTATCGGTTTCTCTCCGTTTCTGATCAAAATACAAAAGCACTAGATTTTTAATGTACCAAGAGTTAAAATTAAAATTCACTTACAGAAAAAACTACAGTTTATTACCCCAACTTGTCATACACTAATATCCATATTAAGAATTCAGAATTCACAATGTGTGTAAATGTATGTTTTACACCCTTGAAAAACATGCAACATACACTCCAAACAATACTGTAAAAGTCAAATTAAGTCATCTTTTTTTAAGTCATTAGTTTGCACACAATTAAATGAACTGCATAAATGTAAAAATTAGGTTGAGTCAACTGTTCCAAGTTAAAATAGATTTACTTTATTTCTTTTAAGCAAAGTTTTTCTTTGTTATTTTCTTTTTCCACCTTTAATTGGGATAGGACAGTAGATGTTACAGACAGGAAAGTATTGTGAGCAGAGAGACGGGAAGGGACTGCAAAGAACCTTGAGCCGGGAATGGAACTCAGGTCGCTGTGAGCACCATGGTGCTATATGATGGTGCTATATGTCGGCACATCTAACCACTATGCTATTTGGCGCCGACTAATTTGCGACTTTTAAGGCAACGCATGTGCTCCCTTTTTAAATAAAGTAGCTAAACGATTTTTACAGTGCACACATTTTATATTCATTATGTGTAAAATCTGTTAATTAGTACAATGTTTTGTTTTGAAATGTACTAATGTAAACTTTCAAAACTCAGATACAGAAAAATTATACTTAAGAACAGCAATGAAGTAAAAACATACACAACAACGCATAAACAGAGGATACAGTCCGTGATTCTTCCTCCCTGGATGTTTCCATGTTGGCTGAAATGAAGCTGGATGAACTTCCCAAAGCGGCTCGAGTTGTTGTTATGAACAGTTTTGGCATTTCCGAACGCCTCCATTATTGGACTACAGACACAGGGAGAACGACACATGAATGTAATGTGTGTACAGCAAATCATTTGTAAAATTGAGCCTAGTTTCTCTTGAGTTTTTTTTCCCTTCACTTTCACCATTTGGTGAGGTTTGTTCCTCGCCACTGGCTTGCTTGGTTTGGGACTTGTGGAGCTGTGCATCGATGGATTTGCTCTTCAGTGTTTGGACAGCAGTGAAAATTAAACCACACTGACCTGAACTAAACTGAACTTCAACAGTGAAATCTGGACTGAGATAGTTTCAATTTACTACAATCTTCTATGTGAAGCTGCTTTGACACATTCTACATTGTAAAGCGCTATAGAAATACAAATGAACTGAATTGAATTATGTATCATGCGTATGTACCTGCTCTCCAGAATCGCCTCCTCTACATGTGACGATGCTGTTTTCGAAGTTGAAAGCGCTGCACTTTGTTGGCTCATTGCAGACAGAAAGCGCAGAATCATCTTAGTGCTCTCAGTTTTACCTGCTCCACTCTCACCACTAACACACACACACACACACACACACACACACACACACACACACACACACACACACACACAGAAAAATAGAAGACCTGAGTGCTGACAGACGCTCATCAGCAGAGTTGTAATGAGCTGATGCGGCCAGCAGAGGGCAGTAACATTCAAGCTCTCGTTTTAGAAGTGTTTCAAGACTCAAGAAGCTTTAGCTGCACAATGCAGAGTCAACATATTGTTAAAGCATAAATAAATATTTGAATAACACACACACACACACTGCTGTTCAAAAGTTTGGGGTTGGAAATTAGTTTCAAACTTGGCATATTATAATGATTTCTGAAGGCTCATGTGACACTGAACACTTGGGTAATGACTTTGTTTGCCATTACAGAAATCAAGCACATTTAAAAATATACAAATATAGACAGCAGCTATTTTGAACTGGACCTAAATTTTACAGTTTGAAATCTTTTTATATTTTTACAAATTTTAAAAACATTAAATATGCATACATTTTCACAATTGAACCACGAGAGAGAAATAATGCAAAAAATATATTATTTTAATGGTGATATTGACATTTAAAGCTTGAAAAACTAGATACGTTTCATGCTTTAGGTTGATTCTGCAGCTAAATTATGATTTGGAAAAGTGTAAATCTTATCTCTAACTAATCCCACAATTATATTCAATTACGATTAAGAGAATTAATTACAAAACGACTCTCGATGTATCATGATGAATCTTTCCATTCAAATTAATTTCTTGTTTGATATATTAAAGGCAGGGGTAGGGAACTTATGGCTCGGGAGCCACATGTGGCTTTTTGACCAAAAATATGTGGCTCTCCAGCCCTTTCTTCAATAATATTTCAAAAATTTAAAAAGTATAACTTTTACTAGAAATCAGTTTCCTATTGAAAATACAATTACACTTCCCTTTGTATTGTATTTTCTACAGCAAAATGAATAAGAACTCGATTTACAATTAAAGGATGTTTCAACCAATGGACATATGTGGTGCTGTGGTTTTACTTGAATCGCGAAAAAAATAAAGGCCAAGAATATTTCTTACATTCCTATGGTGATTTACATTTCTATGGTAATTTACATATCTATGGTAACCTCACACATGTAAATTCAAACATTCATGAGTGGCAATGGCAAAAAGAAAGACAATCTGTAAAATGTTCTGTCTTCATACATTTTGATGCTTCATATTTCTTTGATTTTGAGTTGTGCATGGACATAAATAAAGGTTTTGCTTATAAATAAAGAAAGGTTTTGTTATATACACACACCCCATATGGCTCTTTAAAAAAATGCATTTGATAAAAAAATCTGAAATGGCTCTTTGCTGAAAAAACGTTCCAGACCCCTGTATTAAAGGGATAGTTCATCCATAAATGAAAATACTGCCAGCAATTACTCATCCAACATTCTTCAAAATATCTTCTTTTGTGTTGAACAGAACAAACAAACAAACAAAAAATCAAATGGGTCAATGGTGAGTAAATTATAGCAGATAGCGTTTCATTTTTAAATGAACTATCCCTTTAAGACCTAATGTATCAAAAAATGTTCACACGACAGATTTGTAGGCAGACAGAAACTGCCTACTATTATTTAAAGACATAATCTGCAATGCTTACATAAACACAGACAATATGAACATGCGGTAAAAGGCTGATGTGCTCTTCCAAAGAACATATTTACACAAGTTGCATATGTTCAAAGCACTATGCAACTTTGATAGTTTTTTACATATCCAGACATTTTATCAACAACATCCAACCAAAACTTTCAACACACACTCAAAACACTCCCAAAAACAGTTAAATCTACTTTTAAAGCAATTCATTGACTTTACTTTAACAAAGGTGTGTGAACAAGTAGCATACAATTTAATGAACTATGTGCTTAATTATAAAAATTAAGTTGAGTCAACTTAACAGGTAAACTCACTTTTGAAATAAAGTAACTAAGCACTTTTTACAGTGCACATATTTTACATGTACGTGTGTAAATTCAGTAAATTATTAATCAGATGCTTGTTCTGACCAGGTTGTTTGAATCAGTGAGTTGTTACAATTGAATCTGTCCAATTAACCAACTAATTATTCAGAGTGATTTGATTTCTTTCATAAATCAAATGATTCAGAGAAGGTGCCAGCCTTTATGAAAATAAATGGATTAAAAGTACAATATTTTGTTTTGGAATTTACTGGCGTAATCTTTAAATACTCCGATAATTTACAGATACCAAAAAAATAGTACTTGTATACAGTGCATCCGGAAAGTACTATAGCGCTTCACCTTTTCCACCTTTTTTATGTTACAGTCTTATTCTAAATTGAATTAAATTAATTTATTTCCTCAATATTCTACACACAATACCCCAAAATGACAATGTGATTTTTTTTTAATCGTTGCAAATGTATTAAAAATAAAAAACCTGAAAAATCACATGTACATCAGTATTCACAGCCTTTGCCGTGAAGCTCTAAATCGAGCTCAGGTTCACTCTGTTTTTACTGATCATTCTTGAGATGTTTCAGCAGCTTAATTGGAGTTCACCTGTGGTAAACTGTGTTGATTGGACATGATTTAAAAAAGCATTAACCTGTCTATAGAAGGTCCCAGGGTTGACATAATCAACAATGTATTGAGTAAAGGCTGTAAATACTTATGCAGATGTGATTTTTCAGGTTTTTTATTTTTAATAAATTTGCTACACTTTCAAAAACTCTTTTTTTCACATTATTATTATGGGGTATTGTGTGTAGAATTTTGAAGAAACAAATTATTTTAATCCAGTTTAGAATAAGGCTGTAACCTAAAAATGTGGAAAAAGTGAAGTGCTATGAAAACTTTCCAGATACACTATAATACTCTATTATACTAATTATTGTATAGAACAACAGATTAACAGAGGGGGAAAATTTGCCTTGTGTAATGGGATGCAAACTAAAAAACTACAAATTTATAAATACAAAAAGAAAGTACCGTCACAAAAACATGCTGTTAATAAATGCAAAAGTGTTTTATATCTGCACAGATTGAATCCATTTAAAGTTTTTTTGTTTGTGTTCTACCAGGTTACCCTTTTCATAAGGCAAGACTTGTTTGCGCTCCCTGTGGTTTCATCCGGTAGGTCGGGGAGTTTGTGGGTATTACATTTCCATTGAAATGCTTTTGTTGTGGTTTGCAAAAAGGGCAAAGCCAAGCATTCCCCAACTCTGCATGGTTACTGCATGTGTTTAAGAGGCACAACTTGATTTTCTACCTGGATTTCAGTGCAATAAGAGTCAGTCTGTCCACATGTTTGCTGAGTCTGTACATGCTCAGGGCTTTTCTTAGTTGAGGTTTGGCTGCAGTGGTCAGGTATTCTGCCAGCTTTGTTTTCTGTACGTCGACTCTTGCTAATGCTGATGAGAGATCTGCAGCATGGAGAACAAACACAGCCGTCTGCAACCTTTACCCTCTGCATGCCAGCGTAATGAGGGCTGTCAGACAGCCGTGAGTTTGAACTCACACCTTACTGAGAGGTCAGAGCTGAGGGTGAAGGTCACGGCAGGAAGATTTCAGCTCAGACTGCCTGAAAATTCATTGCAAATGAGAACGCAGGGGAACGTAAAATCCCATTTCTGACACAGGACATGCTGTAGGTCAGGAGAGTTGTAAATGTGAAAGCATATGTGGTCATATTTCTGCAGAAGAATTGCTGAAATTTGAAGCTGGTTTTAGTATACAGAGAATATGGACTACTTTTGCTATTTTTACGGTGTCAGCTTGAAACCTTAGTACCATGTTATTTGGTGTTAAGATTCTTGTACTATGGGTTAATTAAATATGTAGTTAGTTAAATATTTAAAGAGTTAGTTTGTTTTAATAAGTGTTAATTAAAGAGTTAGTTGGGTAAAAAAGTTAGTCAGTTAAAGAGTTAGTTGCTTAGATAAAGAGTTAAAGAGTTAGTTGAAGAGTTACTTAACTAAAGAGTTGGTTAAAGAGTTGGTTAGTTAGCTAAAGAGTTAGTAAGCTAAACAGTTAGTTAGTTAGTTAGTTAGTTAGTTAGTTGGTTTAATAAAGAGTTAAAGAGTTAATTAAAGAGTTAGTTAAAGCATTAGTTAGTAAGTTAGATAAAGTGTAAACTAGTTAGTTAGTTAGTTAGTTAGTTAGTTAGTTAGTTAGTTAGTTAGTTAGTTAAAGAGTTGGTTTAAGAGTTGGTTAGTTAGCTAAAGAGTTGCGTGGTTAGTTAGTTAGTTAGTTAGTTAGTTGGTTAAATAAAGAGTTAAAGAGTTAATTAAAGAGTTAGTTAAATCATTAGTTAAAGCCTTAGTTAGTAAGTTAGATAAAGAGTAAATTGGTTAGTTAGTTAGTTAGTTAGTTAGTTAGTTAGTTAGTCAGTTAAAGAGTTGGTTTAAGAGTTGGTTAGTTAGCTAAAGAGTTGTTTAGTTAGTTAGTAAGTTAGTTAGTTAAATAAAGAGTTAAAGAGTTAATTAAAGAGTTAGTTAAAGCATTAGTTAAAGCCTTAGTTAGTAAGTTAGATAAAGAGTAAACTGGTTAGTTAGTTAGTTAGTTAGTTAGTTAGTTAGTTAGTTAAAGAGTTGGTTTAAGAGTTGGTTAGTTAGCTAAAGAGTTGTTTGGTTAGTTAGTTAGTTAGTTAGTTAGTTAGTTAGTTAGTTAGTTAGTTAAAGAGTTGGTTTAAGAGTTGGTTAGTTAGCTAAAGAGTTGTTTGGTTAGTTATTTAGTCAGTTAGTTAGTTAGTTAGTTAGTTAGTTAGTTAGTTAGTTAGTCAGTCAGTCAGTCAGTTAGTCAGTTAGTTAGTTAGTTAGTTAGTTAGTTAGTTAGTTAGTTAGTTAGTTAGTTTGCATGTTTCGTCTTAATAATTGAAACATAAACACAGATTAGTGAACATAAACAGAAGCTCAAACGCGGAATCTGAAATATCCCATGTGGCATGCAACAATGAACCTCATTGGTTCTCACACATCAAGCAAGCATCTTTAAGCAAATGCTTTAAACCTTAGCTGCATCCAAAATCGCATGCTACTAAGGTACTACGTTTTAATTTGAATTTACTTCACAACCATTAGAAAAGGATGTTCTATATGGTATGAATGTGAGTGTGAATGGAATTTGGACAAACTATATCCATCATGTTGTCATTATCACATGACCTACCCATATCAGTTGTCCGCTTTACTTTCATTCATAAATTCTCTCATGTGGCCTCATGGAATTTTATAGTGTCTATTGAACCTGCACTGCAGAATCAAGGGAATGCACTACGGATACTATGAATTGGAACACACTACTCGGTTCGTAAACTATTTTCCACATAATATATAGTAGAAAAATATGCAATTTTGGATGCATTGCTATTGTTTGATGTTTAGGTAAAGAGGTCTTGCTACCAAAAATGTATACACACAGGTTAATCTGCACTAAAACCATGAAATGTAATTAATTAATATTATCAAAAAAAAAAAAAAAAAAAATTATGTTCATATTTGTTCTGAAGACCTAAAGATGGTGTCTTCTTGGAATGACATGAGGGGCAGTACAAATAATAATTTAATGTTTCTTTTGGCTTAATGATGTGTGCCGCAGTACAAAAACATACCTGATGAGCACACACTGGTTGTTAGAGCGCTTCCACAGGGATCTGTAGCACTCGTTCGCTATGGCGTAGATGTGAGGAGGGATTTCGCCCAGGTGATGTCGGCTGTATCGCTCTACAGCCGCGCCGTCATACAGCCCTGACAGACTCTCATACGGGTTTACTGCTACTAAAATAGAGCCGATGTACGTCTGCAAACACAGAGAATGGAGAGACAGATAAGGACATTTAAAGTTACACTTTATCTATGGGAATCATTTGCACGTGTGTTTTGGTTTCTGCTGCAGGCCAACTTTTCAAACCACTGATGCAAATAGATTGTAAGAGTTGAGATGCTTGGATTTGAATAGCAAATAAGTGCAAATTGGCATCTAAACGGTCAAATGTTTAGGATAGTTTAGGACCTGTCATTATATTGTGTGTGTGATTGTACATATATCTATGAATAGTGATTAAATTTGATGCTATACTACTATACATTTAATTAATATGCATATCATGTGTATGTACATATAAAATATGAGTTATTGTGATATTTGCAATACTAACAGTATTTACTACAGTACATTTTCAACCTTCTAAAGGTACTTGAAAATTCACAAACAATTTCAATTCTTCCAGCCATGTTGTTTATAATCTACACTGAAAGAAATTATAACACTTTGAACCTTTTTTTTTTAAACTGTAATTTGTTAAAGCTATTTTTGTTTATTCTCAAAGTGTAATTTAATTTTGGTTCAATTAAATTATTAAATTACTAAATAAAAATTATTTAAAATCCAAAATATTTATTGTGGTCAAGAAAAAAATTACATGTGGTTTAATAAATTAAGAATTCAGATGCAAAAACCTCTAAGTGACAACTGAATTTTTTTTTATTATTAGCATTTTTAATCAGGCTCTTATGTCTTGATTCAGTAATTTCCCTTTTATGGCAAATAATAGGTTATTTTCATTACTTTTAAAATAAAATAATTGAACATAAACATAAGAGCCTAAGAAAAATGCTCATTGTAGAAGAAAATGCGATAAATATATATATTTTTTACTTTAGAACAATTTTTTTAACCTCATATTAAGGTAAAATTTTGCTTTTGATCAAGGTAAAAAAAAACTACTGTAATATTTTTTACAGGTAAATGTACAGCATAAATTACTCTCAACTTATAATTTTGACATATATTCTGTCCGAAGAAAAAGAAATACATAGACTTAAATGCCAAATATAGCTTTTATAGAAGATGAATTAACTGAATTACTTCAGTCCAGCTTAAAATCAAAATCCAAGTAAAGTTGTACATACATAAATACATTGTAATTGCATATAATATTAGGCTATGCTACTGCTAGTTCTTTTATTTGCAATAATGAGGTAAACTATCTGCTTCTGCTTTCAGTATGGCTATACATGTCAAGGAAGATGGGAATAAAACTCTCATTAGAAATACAAAAAAACTAAAAGCACATACATTTTTTTTTCTTCATGTGGTCATGTGACATGAAAACTGCTGGCTTAAAGTAAAAATATTACTTTGAGACTAACTTAAGGAGTTTTTGCTTTAAGGCACGCTGGACAAAACGTTTGATAAAACAGGTTATAATTGAAAACTATAATTTCCTTTTCCTTCAACTTACTGTAGTCTCTTTATTCATCAACGGTTGCCACAGCAGAATGAACCGCCAACTTATCCAGCATATGTTTTCACACAGGGGATGCCCTTCTAGCTGCAACCCAGTACTGACAATCATCCATTCACACTCATTCACACACATACACTATGACCAGTTTAGTTTATTCAATTCACCTATACTGCATGTCTTTGGACTGTGGGGGAAACCATAGAACCTGGAGGAAACCCACAAGAACACAAGGAGAACATGCAAACTGCACACAGAATAGCTGACTGACACCGCAGAGACTCGAACAAGCGTCCTTGCTGTGAGGCGACAGTGCAAACCACTGTATCACTGAGAAATATGAAAAACTGATTACGGCTGGATCATCTGTTGCTGTTTAACGTGTCAACACAACTACTGTCAAAATCACATTTCTCCCACAGAATCCATGAAGAAGTATACAGTACTTTCAATGAGCTTTGCATGTTTCTCATTCATGAGGTTTATTCAGTCAAATCAGCAACACGAATTTACACAGTAGGTTTTATAGTAACATTAACGTGAGGCTGTAATTCAGATCAGATGGAAGCAGAGGTACAGTAGAGTAAAGTATTTCAGAATCAGTATTTGGCCCTCAGAAGGGGAAAACTGTCTCATTCAGGCACAGGTGTAACCAGTTTGCTCTGAACGGGCTGGCGGGATTCCCTTCTCTAGTAGTCCTTTTTTAAAAAGTGGCCTATTTTAAAAACAAGGACGCTGTTGTCTTTTATTCTGTGCTTTTGACTTTTACCAGTTAATTTCAACTCACTGCAGAGATTTAACACTTTTGGCTCTCTGTACTGTAGCAAAGCTTAAAAGGTTTTTGTGTGGTTTAACATTTATAATGGCTTCAACAATGCATTGATGAATACCTGTCAATTTTTGAATAATTTGGACAAAACTTTAAAAATAATATTAAAAATATATACAAAAATATATATAAAATATTTATATAAAAAAATTTATTTAAAAAAAAAAACAATGGCAGTAGGAATAAATGTCTTCTTGTACTTAGCCATTTTTTGATAAAGGGATTTTGTACTGTCCACCAGACAGAAGTAACTTAAAGGATGGGAAAAGTCTTCCAAAATAGTGGAGGTTTTTCTTTTTGTCGCTACTATAAATAAATCAGTGAGAGGTGTTTGTGTATCGCCAATTATTTTACTTGCTACGTTTACTAACCTTAAAAGTGTATTTTTGCTTTTAACAGAGAGGATGTTAAACCAGGCTACTATGTTAAAAGGACTTTGGGTTTTAAAAGATTTAATGGGTGATGGACACTGGAATATTAAGACCTGTTAAAATTAATTTAAGACTTAACACAATATTTTAGTGAATTGAAGTCTTTTTAAGGCCTAACATTTAGTTTTTAAAAATAAGGCATTTTAGGACCCAGTGGACACCCTGCATTATATTACTATTATTATAGTTATCAGCTTTCTGGATTAAAAAGCATGCATTTTTATATAATTTTAAGTTTCATTTTAAAAGTTATCCTTTAGAGCATTTATTTGATGTTTATTTATTTGACCTTAAATATTGGTGAAATTTTTTTTCAAATAAATATGAAATATTTTACATTAACCTTTTGTAATCTTTCTGCTAATAAATGCTCAAAATGATAATTTTTTTTACTCAAAATGTACCTACACTACTATTATCGTTGCATCATTTTCTTTTAATCTCCATTTTATATATGAGGAACTAAAATGCCAAGTCTCACCTTTTAATAAATCATATTCTTAAAGCACAACTAACAGTGTTAGATCCTCAAACCTCCACAGGAAATTTACAGTTTGCTTAAAATATTGTGGAAGCTTTTAAAACTGTTCCTCACAAACAGTCAATAGATGGGTTTTTGAAGATTACACAAAGTTAAATTTAAAAAGTTTTAAGACATTTTTAAGACCACAATGAATTCAATTTTAGACGTGTATAGGGCTAAACGCTAAGGATTTTTTTTTTCGAATCCCGGCTGGGTCAGTTGGCATTTCTGTGTGGAGTTTGCATGTTTTCCGCGTGTTGGGATAAAAAACATACATACATGAGATCACAAACGCTTCAGGTTATAGGCATTCACCACACACATACACCTATATAAAAAGACATAGCTCTGGCATTTGACAAAGTAGAGCTTACACAATCTCTCCCAGTTCTGTGCTTAATTCAGCTATATACTCAACAGAGAAAGAGCAGCTCTAACCATAATAGAAGAAGCTGTGGATTGTGAGCCACAACCTGTAAGTATTTTTATTTGTTAAAATTGATCTATTATATGCACAGTTTCTAGCGTTAATGGTTTGTTGTAGCAAGGATGGAAACAAGGGGAAATGCTGTTTGGCACCGCTAAAAATTTAGCTACAAATTCATATTTATCCGTCAAAACTGTGTAAACACCCACAATCTTCAGCAGTGCTGCTGTATCTCTCGGAGGAACTAGAAAATATGATATAAAGTAAGAAATATGAATAAATAAGGTGTTTTTTTTCACAAATGAAGCATGAGCACACATTGCTTTGCATTTTATAAACACAACCAAGCCTTAAAAATACACTCTGGACCAGCCCTTTAAGAAAAATAATTATACTATTACAGTAAATAAACATAACATTTGAGATGGATTGTTGGTGATTGTTTAAGTGTTGGCCAGATTGTTTAGCTATACATAAACAAATAAAAAAAATTAAGACGTGTTAAAAAAGATTTACAACCTAATATTTTTGTAAATTTAGGACTTTTTAAAGCCTAAAAGTTTGTTTTTGAGATTAAAGACATTTTAAGTCTTTTTAAAAGCCCGCAGACACCCTGTTATTGAACTAAACTGAACCAACATCTTATATCTGAGGAATATTCTTGTCTATTCCTGTGAAGCTGCTTTGAATAAAAGATTAGGATCTCTCTTTTTAGTAAAGCTTACACACAATGCATCACATAACTGAATCAAATCAGTCCTAATGCACTTTAAATAAAGGTATAACATGACTTCACAGAATGATTATATATATATACACCACATCCAATTCAGCCAATCAAAGTGTGACACACTGCCCCAGATGCCACCGAGAGCATTTAATCTCCACAAGTGCCACCTCAGAGTTGCAGCGAAGGTCTACAGCAGCCACGTCCTTCCCATAACCTCCCCCTGGGTGTGTCTGCAAATGTGTGTAGTTGCACTGAGGGGTTTCATTGGGACCGAATGTCATCGCTCTGTTGCTGTTGGGCCCAGTCCAACGCTGCTACTAATATCATTAAAGATAAGTGCTCATAAAACAAACGCAGAGATGCAGTTTTTTTCAAGAAAACATGCTTTTTATATGCTGTCCTTCTACATGCACAGACAAGACTTCACTCTAGGGAGACAGCTGAGAGTGACTGCTATGTACAGTGATGTATAATAAACTCTCACACACACACACACACACACACACACACACACACACACACACACACACACACACACACACCTCTCAATGTTAAACCGAGTGTGTAGGGTGAAAGTTGAAACATGATCCGGCACAACTGAAGCAGAACTATT